GAAGACAGATAAGACTTGAGCTGGACCCTGAAGAATGGATAGAAATTGTATAGGTAAAGAAAGGAAGGGTATTCCATTCAGGGGTAGGAGATAACAAAAGCAATACTACAGAGGCAGGAAAAAGTAAGGCTGGGGACTAAGAGATTGATTACTTCTTAGGGAGTAGTAGAAAGTAAAGTTAGATAGCTAACCAAGATTAACAAATTAAATACAGCAAAAGGTTTTATGTAGAATACAGATAAGGAAATTCCTATAGACAAAGATTTCTCTATCCATCTCTAACATCTGATAGCCCGAGGTTTTCTATAATTGCACCAATGCGAACTTAAAAGGATAAGATACCTTTAACAGGAAAATGTATGCAATGGCCAATCCTAGGGGCTACAAATTTAAGTTATTTTCCCTCTAATGAGAATTATTCTCTACTAACCTCCATTAGAGGATCTAAGCCTTGTATCTTGCCATGGAAGTAAAATATATATACTCTTACATGATTTTCTCAGCAGTAATATAATTGGGACACTTTTCTGCATTTAAATGCTTTTAAAAGGCCTTAAAGTCAGACTGGTGATGATTTTGCTCTGCAGTGAATTTTTCAAGCAAATTTTCATAGTGCAGGCAGAAAAGTGTTAAAGGATACCAAAGGAATTATAAATGAATTTTAAAGTTAGGGCTATTCTATACAGGTCTCAAAGTACTTTTGTGTAGGTTTAAAAAATATGTAGTATCTCCCAATATATGCTTTACAAAATGTGATTTAAAGTCATGTAAAAATTACTTTACAAGAAAGTGAAGTTTAAATATCTATTTTCTGTCTTCATTTGGAAGGACATATAATTGATGTTAGACTAAATCTAAAACTGATTTCAACGGTGCATAAGAAAGTAGATAAGGTCTATAAGGAATTAAATCTTGGTTTAAAGCAGTGTGAAAATGGTATTTAAAGCATGTAGTTAGAAATATCATAGTATGGGGAAAGAAGAAACAACAAACATGTGGAATTTTTAAAAATTCTATCATAATCCAACAATTCTGGTGCATTTTTAGTTGGTGGTATGTAAGTCTCTTATAAGATCTGATCCTGTTGAAAACAAGTGTCAAGGCATTAAAATAACATTTCTGCTCTTACCCAAACGAGTCTTAAACTCAATCTTATTCTCAGGATCTTCATCCTTCCTTAAGAAACAAGAAAGAAGCCATTAGCCAGTTCTGCCATCAGTCCAAGTCCTGCCCCTCCACCTCAACAATCCACGCCTCCCCCATATACTCACTTTGTTTCCTTTTGAGGTTTCTCCATCATCTCTTCCTCTTCTTTTTCTTTGCTGGCAATCTCAGCTCGAACCTAAAGGAGGAACCAGAGGGGTGTCTGGGACAGTTCTATCCCCTAAATCTATATCTTCAGCACTAATGAGATAATTCTACAACAGCCAGGAAGGCTCCCCCATTCAACAAAGCTCCCCTTCCTGGAGGCCCAGAGACATTCAGCATTCTGGCAACATCCATAACTCACAAACAAAAGAAAAACATCTCACCTTCTGGAGAAGGGCAAAATCCAAGCCTTTCACCAAATGAGTATGTTCCATGTCACCACCCAAGAACTTGGACTCCTGGATCAACTGTCGCCTCTTCTCTGCTGCAGATTTGTCACTATACAACAAAAGGGACCATTATCAGATCAACCCAGTATTACTGACAAGGGATTGTTTATAGTGGTTTGGCTTAGGTGGGAAGGAGGCCAGAGGTCCACATTACAGTATACTGAAGCCCAGAAGAACTAAATGATTTGCCCACAATTACACAGCCTGACTGGGGCTGCTTCAGAAATTAAATCTTAAATGAACCTAGGCCAAAGTCTACTCACGCCTCAGCAGTAGGTCCCACAGCTCTGTAGTTAGCAGTGGTACTGATCAACTCTGTTTCTTCATAATCCTTGTTTACACCATCTCTTCTTTCTTTGGCACGGTCACGATACTTTTCTGCTAGCTCCCTTTCACGTTCAATTTCTTGTTGACGGAGTTTAGCATAGTAGCTATGAATGAGAAGAAAGAGGTAAGGCAGTCAAATATAAGTGCAGCAAATCTGCTCCTCTCTATTGCTTGTACTCTTTGTTCTCTACATCTTTGCCCTCACTCCTCCTACACATACCTCTGGGCCAAAAAATATACCCCCTGTAATACCCAATTACTTATATATGTTCTCACAGCGATTCTCTTTCTCTGTACATTGCAGTTTGCTCTATAATTATAATAGAGCTTTCTCAGTCACTGCTAAGCCCCTTCCTGTTTAGTCACCTCCAAATTACTGAGTATCTACTACTATTAAGCCACATAGCCCCAGAAGATTAATTTGGATTTCCAACTCTTTACAAATTTCAGCTCAATGTCTCATAATTCTACCCGTAAGAACAAAGAAAGCAAAATACCAGGCCCATGGAAAACTTTTGTAGTTTCTAAGTAAAAAGCCCCCTAACAAACACAAAAACCTTAGAGCTTCCAAAAAAGAGAAGCCTCAGCTTCTTCATTAAATGAGAACTATGCTCCTACATAGCCAACTCTTAACCTAACTCAGTCCCACCTCAGTAAGGACAGTGCTCACATTAAGATCTAACCTCCCCTTCCCTTCCTTTCACCTTTTCTTTTTCCTCCTTCGTGCTGCTGGATCTTCATCCTCGTTGTATTCCCTTGGCATCCTAGAGGGAGGAGAAAATCCAAACATACCAAATGGCTACCACAGCCTCACAAATCCCAAGAGGAGTCCTCAGTGGTAAAATGATCAGGGCACTAAAGCTAAGCAGGAAAAAGCCCCAGAGGAATAAATTTAGAAAAATATACAGACTCCCAACCCAACCAGAGCCTCAATAAAATAATCCCTCTTACTTTCTACTTTTCTAAACATTTCCTATAGGAAAGTATGCAATAGGAACAGGTTGGGAATGGTTGGGAAACAACTAGGAATATCCAACAGCTTACTCATGATGGCGAGATTTGGATGGTGGTGCAGATGTGGGTGCAGCTCTAGGTGTCATAAGTAGTTTCCTAAAGTCTTCATTGGTGAGTTTGGACCTAGTGAAACAAGACACAAGATTGTCAAACACGGAGTGACAAAATCAGCACTTCCTCAGTCTGTTTCCATCTAGCACCTCATTCCCCCAAAAGTAGCTATTACTTCTCTATATAACCAGTAACATGCTAGTACAAATAACATTCATTACTTCGAGGACCCCTGATTTCATTAGTACAAGTAATACTCCCATTGACACAGATCCCAAATCCTTCACAGTTTAGTTTTATTAAATAAGCACCTTGCTATGAATGAAGAAATCATCAACTGGCAAACAATCTTCCACTAAAAAAAAAATAAGCTTTTCCAAATTGTAAGGATTCAGAGAGATTATCTAGTTCAAATCTCTCATCAAAAAGATAATGAAACTAAAGCCCAGAGAGATTAAATAATTAGCTCATGATTGCTGTTGACGTTGGTGTAAACTCTTCCTGAGTTCTCACTTTCCCAAAAAAAACCCCACCAATCTAGGAAGGGAAGACCCTCAGTTATTCACTCTGAGCAATCCGGGCCCAAACAATGACCACTAAGTGGGGTTTGGGTTGGAACCTATTAACTGGCCAATCAACGAGAACCAGAGTGAATTAAGTTTAAGGCAAATTCTTTAAGAAAGAAATCTAGCCCATTAAACCCCAAGGTATCTTGCTAGGTTTCAGACAACAAAATTTTCATTCCTTTGGGCACAGCACATACCCTAGGGTATGATACCCTATGTGGACAGAAGGGGGGGAGGGGAGAGGAGGGGTAGGAGGGGTTCTGACGCCCAACTGGAATTGGCCAGTTGGGGGTCCCCAGTGGGGCAGCTTGGGACTACTCACAGGTTGTTGTTAGTCTTTCATTCTCCAAGAAGACCATGACATCAGGAAAGTGATGCCATAACTTTCAAGTGAACTGGATCTAAGCGAAGGAGGGCTGTGCAAAGTAACCAAGCCTGACTTTCTCCTCTGGAGCCATCTGAGTCCAGTGGCATGATACAGATCAGGAAGTAGCACAACCCAGCTGGGAGATACTAGGTCCTGACTCTAAATCCTGTTCACTATGGCAAGCACTGTCTCTCCAACTAAGCTGGTACCCAGAAGCCATACAGCCTTCACATATCATATATGAAGCTGTAGGAAGACCTGTTTGTGTTCAGCTGGCATTGCCTTTAAGAACCTAGGGTCACCTCCACGAACAAGGTATTTGAGATGCACTTTAAAGCACAAGTTCAAAAACCTGCAATCCCACCCTTGGGGTCCCACCCTACCAAAAGAGGCCTCTATACTCTTGGCCCCTACATGCCAGTCATACTCACTGATGGAAAGAATGAGGATCGTCCACATCATGGCCATCCGGGGCTAACGGGTTGGAGAACGGTTCACCTGGGGTAAACAAAAGACTGAGCTCCCCGCATCCCCTCGCGCCGCCCTTGCCGGACACCGCCGACCCCGCTAGGCTGCAGGTACAAGAACCCTCCCCGACCCCCGCCCAAACTGTCCCTAACAGCCCCAAGTTGGACGCAGGGAAGACCCTTAATAACAAGGTTTGACCCGAGGGAGACTCCCAAGGAGGGAGGAGTAGACCCCGGGACTCACTGTCTCGTTCCGGCATCCTGACCCCGGCTTCAGCTCCCAAAAGAAACGCCACCACAGGAACCCCAGATTCGCAAACTGATTATCCACCACGCTCTGCGACGAGATCGGCTTCCGCCTTACGCTTGGCCCCACCTTTCTCACGTGTCATTACCATGGCAACTCCGCTCACGTAGACGTGAGTGACTCTTCTACGGAAATGAGCAAAAAGTGGGCCTGACGTAATTGGCTGAATTCCACCTCGACTCTCCCTCTCCCCGCCCCTTTCCCCACATCTGACCAATCGTAGGGAACAAGAGACACAATTCGCCGAAGAGACCAAAGCAGCACGAAGCAAATTGGTGAGGAGGCTGATGCCTCTCCCTGATTGGCTGTACGGACGCTCTCATGGCTAAGGTTGAGGACGTAGAGGTGTTCTGCAGTGTCTGGAAAAGATGGCGGCAGCTGCAGCCCGTGGGGTCGCGTTCAAGGTGGGCAAGAACCTGAGGGAGGTCCGCATCCACTTGTGCCAACGCTCGGCCAGCAGCCAAGGAGTGAGGTGCGGTTGAACGGCGCTGGTTGGACGGGCGGGGCAGGCTGGACGGAGGTCGAAAGGTCACGACCTCGCGGGGTCATCCCGCATCTTCCCCGCGAGTGGCTGCGGGGAAGCCCCGGGAAGCGGGGAAGGGGAAGGGGAAGGGGAAGGGAAAGGGGAGGAGGGCTCCTCCCTCTCTGTCACTTATCGTGCCCTGGACCAGTCCCGCCGCCTCTCAGATCCTATGTTCTCACCTGTAAAACCGGGGTGAGGTGAACATCAAACATCCCGTTACATCAGTGACGATGCTCCCCTAACCTCAGATCGGCAGTAAAGGCGAGCTCCTTCCTTTCACTCCGTTCTTCAGGGACTTCATTGAGAAGCACTACGTGGAGCTGAAGAAGGCGAACCCCGACTTCCCCATCCTGATCCGTGAGTGCTCTCAGGTGCAGCCCAAGCTATGGGTCCGCTATGGTGAGCTGGGGCTTGGGATTCCTTGGGGTGGCGGGGAGCATTCTAGCTTGTTAAGGTTCAGGGAACCATGTTGAGGTTTAGGGGTTCTGGGACCCTGAAATTGCGACAGGCATGCCCTGCCCCAATGAATTCGACCCAAGCCTTCGTTCAGCCAAAGACAAGGTTTGTTAAAGATCCGCCATGTAGGCCAGACCCTTAAAGAATCTGAACATTTGTGAACTATTGGCTGCATTTTAAGAATCTGAGCGCCTTGGGGCAGCTAGGTGGCTCAGTGGATAGCGCACCGGCCCTGGATTCAGGAGGACCCGAGTTCAAATGTGGCTTCAGACATGTAACATTTACTAGCTGTGTGATCCTGGGCAAGTCACTTAACCCCATTGCCTAACCAAAAAGCAAAAAAAAAAAAAAAATAAATCTGAGCACCTTAATGAAGGCCACATGGACTTTACATAAAGACTGTGGGAGGGATCTAGGAGTGGCCAAGTAGTTTGGGGTGACTGGAGAAGGGGTCTAGGGAGGATCATGGATGGGAAGTAGGGGTGGGGCATCCTGGAGGTAATAGACAATGGAGGGTTGGGCTAGGTAACAGAATTGGGAAATTGGGGGTAGCCAGCATGAAAGGCCAGTTGATAGGATCATAGCCTCAGGCAAACGCTGGAGACTTGCTTGATCCAGTTCACAGAGTCCACGGTGGGGTTTCCTAGGGCCCATAGACAAATAGGACCCAAATTCTTTTTGAGGTAAGGGGCAAAGGTCTCAGCTTGGGCCTGTATCCCATCATAGCCTGTGGTTTAGCAGGCTTCTGCCCCAAGATGCCTTATTGTAGGCGCCCCCCTCCTCCCCACAGCCGTAAAAGGTTTTTCTAATAGGAGAGAATTGTAGGTGTAATAAGGAAGAGCCTAAAAGATAGGGAAGGAATCCCAGGGTGAAGAGCTAGGTCACACTGCCTGAACTTGGGACAGTAGGGGAGATAGAAGCAAAGACAGGCTTGGCCCTTTGCCTTACCTTGTAGCTTTATTCCACTCACATATAATCTGAAGGTGGTAGTTTATCACAAAACTAGCTAGAATTTTTAACTTCTACCATCGTCAGTTAAAAATAAAAAGCCAGTAGGTAAGTTAAAGACCCTTTACTCCAGAATCCTGTAATCATTCCAGCCCATCTTGGTTTATCCTTTTTCTGAATGTCAGTAACAGTCTATAGCACATGTTTAGTACTTAATATAGGCCACCTTCTTAATCAGTGATACATACATAGTAGATGTTTACTATTTTATCCTCAGCTTTTGGTCAGGAGAAGAATGTCTCATTGAACAACCTCAGTAGCGAGCAAGTGGCCACAGCTTTAGTGAATGTGATGAATAATAAAGCCTGAAGACTCAAGAAAACATTAAGAGCTGCCTCAGAGCTTGGGCTCTATTGGACTGAGAATGAAATATCCACATATTTTTAAATTATCTTTCCGTGTAAACCTGGTATTGTAATTGAACTATAATTTTTCTGAATGTTCCCTCTATTCCCCACCCCCAAACATATGCATTTTACCACCAACATTGTGACTGAAGAAATTTAATGTAATACAACTTTTCAGTTCTAAGAGAAGCTGTGATATATGAAAGAGGGAAAAGGAAGAAGGGGGGGATTAGGGGGGCTGGGGGATGGGACACAGGAAATGGGACAAGACTGAGCAGCCTCGACCTGGTGCCCATTTAGTCGTCCCTGAAGGGAAGCATAACTGGAGCATAGACGATAACTTTTGAACCACAAAACGACAGGACTAGCTCCTAGAAGAAAGCAGGCAAGAGAGAGACTATGGCAGTGCCAAAGCATTCGGTACAAGTGAACTTCCTCCCAGTGCCACCTCCTGAAGAGCTTGTATGCGTTCCTGGAGGTCAGCCTCTTCTTTGTGTTTCTCCAAGGCCTGTAGGCCAGAATGCTGCAAGAAGTCCTGAGCTGCCTGTTTAGGAAGCAAGAAAGGTTTTATGGTGAGGCATAAAATTAGTTTTTCCTATCTCTTCCCTCAAGGAAAGTGTCACAAATAAGGGAAAGAGTAGCTGAGCCTCTGGATGTTATCATATTCTCTTCACTGAATGATGCTGGGGGAGGTAGGGCAGGGTGGGAATATCAGCCTATATGGAATATGAGTGCTGGTTAGGATGTGGTAGGGCTTCAATCTATCTTGAGCCTATAAAACTACATGGCTTAAAAAAAAGTCTACCATGAACCTGAATCAAAACCCACCTCAGGCTGGTGTACAAACAGCAGTTGCAATAGCTCCAAGCTCTGGCCTACCACCTCTGAGTCAGAAAGGGTCAAGATATCTAGCAAGTGGGGGAGTAGTGGACCAGGCCACAGCCTCTGGCAGTAGAAAGGGCCCTTCTCTGCAATGTTGCACAGGATTGTGAGCACCTACAAATACAATAATAATAACATTTAACATTTGTATAGCACTTCAGAAATTGTAAAGAGCTTTCCCCAATACTACAGTTAGCAAGCGTTATATTTGTTTCATAGATGAGGAAGCTAAGGCTTCAAATAGCTACACAACATCTACAGTCACAGCTAGTAAGGTTCAGAGGAAAGCACCTAACTCCCAACTCCTATTTGTTTCCTGCTACACCAAACTACTAAATATTTGAAAGGACAACACAAACTCGTGTTCCTAACCTCCAAAGAAACAGAAACCCCAACTATTACTTACCAATATACGTACCACCCGTGAAATGGGTAAGAGTTGCAAGAGGGGAGCGACAAGATCCAGGGAGAGCATCGCAGTGCAGAGGCCAGGATCTTTCACTAGAGAAGAGGCATCATGACCGGGTTATTCACAGAATTCAAGTCAGAGGAAGAGAGGTATAGTTGAAGCACAACTAGTTACCCATGTGTTACAAGGTAATGAAACACCTTTCTCTCTAATCTGTCCCAATCTGAGTTTAAGCTGAGAGGTCCCCAGATGGTCAGAGAAGCCACTGTTACTTAACCAGGGATAAAATTTAGTCATTGTAGTGAACTGACTTGGAGCCCCATCACATACCAGTTAGGTTGTTGAGGACCCAAAGGCACTCAGGAACCAGGCTAGGTTGATGCTGGATGAAGAACTCCATGAGGATAAACATGGCCACTATAATTCGCTCATCTCCAAAATCTGCTCGTACCCCTGCATCTGCCGCTCCTTCCTCTGCCAGCAAGTTACCAAAGCACCGAAGTACTGGACAGGCCAACTGCAAAGGCAAGATGGGTGACCAGGAGACCAAAGGGGCTAGCTGGGAACTGAAGCCCAAGGGAAGGCACCAAGGATATTACAGACAGAACGTGTCACCAAGCAGGGCTGAAGACACACCTGGTTCTCCTAGGTGGTGAGAAATTCCTCAGTGACCTCCCTTTACCTACCAGATCCAGTCCTGTATCCACAGATCCTGAGGCAGCCCTAGCCAAATCCATCAGCAATAGCCCCAGAGTGGACAAAGCTCCTCGAGAAATGAGCAGTGGATTATTCACCTGGCTGGAGCAGAAGAGAAAACAGTCAAGTCCCCACATCCTGGGTCCCTAAGTCCTAGCTTGATCTAAGGCACAAAGCCAGGAAGAATTCTGTTACAGGTTAGGAGGCAGCCAAAGTCAGTATGACCCCTGGGACCTACGACATCTGGAGAACTGAAGGAGAAAAGCAGGATTTAAATTGTGTTCCAAGCCTAAAGAAAGGAATAAGGTAGGAATCAAGTACTGTCACACCCCCCTTCCCTGCAATACCAGGAAATGCTTTTGCTGTGGCTTTGATTCAATACCCCATATATCCATGAGTACACAGGGATTACTAAGGAAGGTTATGGGTGGCATTCCTGGTCTGGGCCCATGGTACCTGCAGATAATGTAATGAAGGCACCAGGCAAACTCCACAGCAACACTAGCCCCCAGCTCTGGGGTAGGGTGTAGAAGTCGAAGCATGTTCGGGAGGATGGCAGAGTCCAAGACAGAGCTGCAGGTCAAAAAGGCACAATGAGTGAAAACATCTGAGTGAAAGTGCAAGGTACCCATCAGGACCTCACTGTGAGTGAAAATGACACAATCTTGAGGCCCTTCTCAGAAGCATGGGAAATCAGGTAAATAAACCCAGGAGGAAACAGTATCCCTGGCAGTAGCCTGGGCTCACCTTTGGCCATCACAGTCTCCCTCTTCCTATGCTGCTGTCCAAAGGAAAGAGGATTTACTTACGGAATGATTTCTTTGGGAGCTTCATTGGCCTGCAAAAGTTGTGACAAGGTGTAGCCAAGAGCTTCCAGAACAGCTGCATGGGGCGACTGGAATAGGACAATGTAGATCTTAATGAAGGAACAGAAAGCAGTGGCAAGAGCCATCCTCCCCAAGCACAGAAGGTATGAAGGGGGTAAGAGGAAGGAAGAACACTTGATCTCTCACCTGGATGCATAAAGCAAGAGCTGGAATAATGCCCTGTGGCAGAAGCTGCCTCCTCACAGCCTCACTCTCCACAGCCAGGTTGCCTAGTGTGTAGAGACATAGCTCCTGATTACAGAAGGGAACAAGAAAGAGTTCTGAGGTTATTCCCTTCCCCAGACTAAGAAGAGGGGAATCCTTAAAACAATTTTATCAACAAATCTGAGCCCAGGAATTCTACATTTCAATAAGTGAACACTGGCCACCCCCAGGGTCCTGCCCCTGCCCCTGAGGAATTGATATCAGACTGGACACATGAGCAGAGCTGTTCATCCCAGTGCACCAGTAATCAGAAGCTGGGGATCAGTACCTACTCGTGCCTTATACCACCGCTTTAGTTAATACTAATAATATGACTTTCAAATAACATGTGACATAATGTGGGTCCAAGAGTCACTGATTCTGATACTAGGTCCTGCAGTGGAATGGCAGTGGGAGACAGGGTTTCAGGCATCTGAGCAGTGGATTGACAGACATGAGTCTGGAACCAGGCCCTTGGATCCAAATTCCATCACTAGGTGTCTGACCTCAAAAAGACCAAGAGGAACACAGAGAAAACAAAGTAAGTCATTCTTAAGGATAGCATACATCTGATTCATGTACCTACTGGCAAAGGTAAAGACCCAAAGTGGCAAGAGAATATATTCCCCATAATACCCCGTGATCCAATATTTCCTTTGTCAGGAATTTACTCTGAAAATCTGTGCAAAGGTTATCATAGGCAGTATATGTAATTTTTTCAAAAACAGAAAATTTAAATATTCAATAGGGAAATTGTTATATAAATTATTCTATATAAATGTAACAGGATATAATAATACAATTAAGATAAATAAGGATAAAGTATGCAAAAAAATCTGGTATGTCCAGCATGCTACAGTGGAAAAGAGCACTGGATTTGGGGTCAAAGGACCTAGGTCCCAGTTCTGTTACCTGTGAGACCTTGAGTAAGTCATTTAACCTCTCTGGCCTCAGTTTCCTCATCTGTAAAATGAAGAATTGTGTCTAAATGACCTCTGAGTTCCCTTCTAGCTTTCAATCTGTGGAACCTTTATGAAAAAATGTAAACTGAAAAAAGCAGAACCATAAGAATGGAATACACATTATATGGGAGGAAAATGAATGAGAAGAAATGGACAAAGAATCCTGATGAAGATGTAAGCAGGTATACTTAATCTTTTTTATGTCACAGATCTCTTTGGCAATCCAGTGAAGCCTATGGACCCCTTCTCAGAATAATGCTTTTAAATGCATAAGATAAAACATTTAGGTTTGTAAATGAAATATTATATTAAAATAGTTGTCAAAAAATTATTTTAAAAGTTCATCGACCAGAGAGAGAACTGATTAACTCCAGGTTCAGATTGAAGCATGCTTTTTCCACTTTATTTTTCTTGCTTTTTTGTATGTGGCAACATTGCTAATATGGAAATGTTTTGCATGACTTCACATGTATAATTAATACCATATTGCGTGCTTTCTCAATGGGTGGGGGAGGGGCTGGAGGGAGACAACTGGAAAATCAAAAAATTTGCAAATGATTGTTAAAGTTAATAAAGTGCAATTTTTAAAAAAGGTCATAGACTTCAGGCTAAGAACATCTGATATAAACAGATGACAAAAATTTGTATGATGCTTTTTAAAAAACGACTAGGGGCAGCTAGGTGGCGCAGTGGATAGAGCACCGGCCCTGGAGTCAGGACAACCTGAGTTGAAATCTGGCCTCCGACCAAACACTTGACACTTACTAGTTGTATGACCCTGGGCAAGTCACTTAACCCCAACTGCCTAAAAAATAAAAATAAAAATAAGAAAATAAAAAAACTAGACTAATTTCATTGATATGAGGAACTCCTCCAGACAAGTGAAACTCCCTCTGCCAACTCTGATTAAAAACTGTCCTGCTATTTAAGTCTTATAGATTTGCCTGGACACTGAAAGGTTGAGCAACTTGACCAGGGTCACACAGTGTATGCCAGAGACAAGACTTGAATCCAGGTCTTCTTGACTCCAAGGTCTACACCACTGAGCCTCTCTTGTATGATGTTTTATGCACTGAAATGTATTTAAATGTAATAGATACCAAGTAAGTTTAATGGTTTATTGAGGTTCAATGTTAAACTTCTAACAAAACAAAATTTAACATATCCTCCAAAAGATCAGCTATTTAAAGTCATAGAAGTTAAAGTTAATGGGAGCTACATATGAGCTCCAAAATGAAAAAAGGATAAATGAAGTCAATAGTACATAGCAGAAAGAACACCGGATTTGGAATTTAGGACCCAGGAATCTCAATCTACTACCTACTACATGTGTGACCCTTGGCTAGACACCTAACATCTCTGGCCCTGAGTTCCATCATCTGTAAAATGGGGCCATTACACTGATGATTTCTAATAAGTCTCCTTTGGATCTCAGACACGGAGGGAAGGGTTAAAGGGAATAGGGTGAGCTCTTACTATGAAGTCAGCACTGTGCCCGGAGAGGTACGTGAGGAGGTAGGATGTGGAAGGCAGACAGGCTTCTGCCACATTGGGCTGGTCGGCATGGGAGAGTTCATGCAGACATCGAGCTGCCTCCATCTGGAGTGAAGCCCAGTTGCTAGTCAGGAGTCCAATGAGTGTCCGAATGCTGCCTTCTAGCCTGAAACACCAAACATTAGAATTTGTCTCAACCCCTGCGTCAGGTCCCTCCCCTTCCTATCCTCAAACCCACTCGTAGCAGGATTCAAATCTCAGTTCTACTATTTAGTTAGTTCTGAGACCTTAGGCAAGTCACTTCAATTATCTGGAACTTTGCCATCTCCAAAAGAAAGGAGTTGGATTAATCCTATGAAATCTAACAGCTTTCCTAGGTTGCCTTTCTTCCCCAGGAATCAGGTATCTGCTTCCTGACTCCTCCACGCACCAGGTACTTAGGCCACTATGTCTGTACTGACCGGATAAAAGTTTGCTGTGTCTCAGGATGCTGTAGGCTATGCCGGAGGCTGATTAATGCCTTCTCTTTCTCTTTCTCAGTTCCCCGCTGAGACATCCTCAGTAAGTGTAGCACCTGGGGGGTCAAGGGCAGAGTGAGAAATTCAAAACAACTTGGAGAGGTTTGCAGAGATAGTGACAGTGTCAGGTACTGAAATCTTCAAAGTGTGTAAACATTCAACAACCCCAGGGTTCTCTTTACCAAATGTAACAAAGCTATTAAGCACCAATACCATACCAAATGCTTTGTATTCATTTGGATAATGTTTCGAAGTACTACACAGCCAGACAACCCTTTATCAACCCTAAAAAGAGCCACTGCCACTATCCCAGATATCTCACCTCCAGCTCTTCCAGGGGCTTGTTCTGGAACTCATCTCTGGCTTCTTCTAGGTCATTGTCCCTCAGCAATCTCTTGCTGACCAGGTGCTGTTCCCGCCTAGCCTTCCTTAAAGCTGGGGAACAGAGAGGCCAGGAGCTCAAGCCCAAACTGGGGGAAATGGGGAGTCGGATTAGGGCTGGAGGACACATAGACAGGATCAGGACAAAACTGGGAGGCCATGGCCAGAACTTCAGGCCAAAGCTGTGGAACAGAAATGCCAGAGGCCAGAGGCTGGGGGTCACAGTAGCTAGAGGCTCTGGACTGGCATAGAATGGCCAGAGGCTCAGGTCAAGCCAGGGCTGGGGAAGTGGGGGGGGGGGGGGGCAAGGGGCGGGGGGTCAAAGACAGGGAGGGGGGGGGGGTTCAAATGGGGCTAGGGGAATCAAAGAGGCCAGAGGCTCAAAACTGGGGGTCACAGGAGCCAGAGGCTGGGAGTCAGAGGTGTTAGGGGCTGGGAGGGGGTGTCAAAGGGTCCAGAGGCTGGGAAGGGGAAGGGGAGGGGCGGAACACACAAGAGTCCAGGGGCTCTGAGTAATGACAGGGGCCACGGAGGAAGAGGGAAGGACGGAAAGGAAAGGGTAAGAGGGACCAAGGGCTGAGTGGGGGTGGGTGGTGGCGGTGAGGGGTGGGGAAAGTGGAAGAGGGTTATCAGAGGGCACAGGGCTGGGAAGGGAGAAAGGGGTGTCACAGGGACCAGGGGCTCAAGGCGGGAGATCAGAGGGGCCAGGGACGGGGGGGGGGGGGGGGGGGGGGAGAAGGGGGGGGGGGGGGGGGGGGGGGGGGGGGGGGGGGGGGGGGGGGGGGGCGGGGGGGGGGGGGGGGGGGGGGGGGGGGGGGGGGGGGGGGGGGGGGGGCCGCAGAAAAGCAGGTAAGTAGGATCAGAGCTGCCAGGGGCCCTAGGCAGCAGATCTCAGGGACCAGGGGCTCTAGGCTGGGGAATCAAAGCAGCCGAGGGCGGAGGGTGGGGCTCAAGGGGGCCAGGGGCTGGGAAGGGGGGGCGAATCACAGGGGTCAGGGGATATGGGAGGCTCGCGGGGCTGCGGGGGGCGGGTCAGAGGGTCCCGAGGCTCTGGGCCGGGGGCCATCGAGGCCGGAGGGAGGATGCAGCCCCGGAGCCGCCGGGCCGCTCGGGCGCGGGCCGCACCTGCCTCCCGCTCCCGCCAGCGATCCCGCTGCTCCTGCAAGTTGTAGCCGTGGGCCCGGAGGCGGCCGCTGCGGTGACTCCACATGACCCCGGGCGCTGCGCGGGCACAATAGGACCAGGCCGAGAACGGGCGGCGGCGGCGGAGGCGGCGGGGGAGGCGGGGAGGCGGAGAGGCGGAGGAGGCGGAGGAGGCGGAGGAGGCGGAGGAGGCGGAGGAGGCGGAGGAGGCGGAGGAGGCGGAGGAGAGGAGGGGCGGGAGGCGTCTAGACTCGCCCTACAGCTGCACTTCCGGTGGCGGGGGGTCGGGCGGGGCTGCGGGAGCGCGGGGCGGAGCCTCCGGGGGCCAGCGCGGCCTGCGAGGGCGAATCTGGTTTCACTTCCCTAATTCCTGACTTCCTAAAGGAAGTTGCTTATCCGCTCCTTCTCGTGTTGGGAAGGCCGAGAGCCCCTCCCCCCTCCCTCCGCGCTCCCGCCCCCGCCGCTTTTCCGGCCCTTCCCATCCCCCCAGCCCTCTCCACCCTCCCCCGACATTCCTCCGGACCCGGGGACCGTGTCTACGCCCCCACGAAGCCTTTCCTCCCTCCAGCCCTCTCCCACCACTGCATTTGGGATAAACAAGTGTGAACAGGAATTCTTTCACTTAACCAAGAAAGTGAATAGATTTCTTGTGTAGAAATTGGCACCCAGGGGCCCCTGTACTGAATGGGAAATGAATGACGTGATGTGAGTCCCAAATCCCAAACAAATCCATCCGTCTCATAGTTTTCTTCTGATAATGCAGAATCACTGACATGTTATTATCAATATTATTATTATATAATAATTAGCATGTATATAGCTAGCTTTAAGGTTTGCAAAGCATTTTATAAATGTTATTTCACTGTATCTTCGCAACATACCTGGGAGGTAGGTGCTATTATTTTCCCTATTTTACAGATGAGGAAACTGAAGCTGAGCAAGATTTAAGTGACTTGCCCAGGGTCATGCAGGTGTCTGAGGCAGGATTTGAACTTAGGTCTTGCTGACTCCAAGTCCAGCTCTACCTGTTGATCCTGAATCTTCCAGATTGAGACTTCTGGAAAAAGGGTAAAAACACTGTTTATGACTGAGGAACTGTTAGTTCTAATATAGTATATATTATGTATATGTTAGCATATTTTATATACTAATATATATTCTAATATAGTGAAAACCAGACTATTGAGAAGTAGCTCTGGGGAGTGAAAAGAGCACTGGCATAACCTTTCTCTTCTCCAAGACAGGCAACTAGACTGCTTAGTTAACTAGGACTATCCCGGTGATCAAATGATAGGCAGTTTGGAGTACCGAAAAGACTAGTAGTATGTCTAGAGTTGCATAACCTGGGTTCATATTACCTCTCTGATAGTTTCTACCTGTGTGACCTTGGGCAAATCACTTGCCTCAGTTTCCTCATCTGTAAAGTGAGGACCTTGGACCAGATGATCTCTACAATGGTTTTTAACTACAACCTTTCTGTGGGAGTTTAGGTAAATACATTAGAGGCCTTTGTTGCACATCATGCCTGTTCCAACACTCCCAGTTAGCAGACAGTTTTAAGTTTGAGTTCAGGGCAGGGATGCACAAATTTGATGGAGGTGAGGAAAAGTAGGGAGACTTTGTTAATTTATAATTACTCTTCCCCATTCCCCAAACCTCACTCCTCATCTGCAGGTTAGGGGCTGAGGTTTCCATCAATAGCTTATGAGTTTGTGCAACTGTCTGACTTAAATCCAATTCACCTGCAAATGAAGGCGTCACCCCAGGATGTCATTAGTCCTCTTGAATTTGAAGGAGGAACAACAGCTCTACCCCGACAAGTCCAATTGGTCATTTCCCTCACTGTTGGAGCACAGGTGTTAAGTTGTTGTGTAATCCTGAAGATTCCCATCCCCCACCCTTCCCTAAACAAAGGAGAGCAGTCTACCGAGAGACTGAGTGAAAGGAAATGAAGTTTAGAATCTTACAGATCTGGAAACAAAAAAAAAGCTTTGAGGCTCACTTACCAAGTCTACCCCAGTACAAGTGAGTTTTCTCTGTCTTTGGTTCCTGTACTGTTCTGTCACTTCCCAAAAATCCAGTAGGGTTTCAGAAATTGAGCAAGTGGAGGGAGGTTACCAGAAACTGAATTTGTTTTATATTTTGTATATATTTTATACTTTTTTGTGGACTGTGGTGATTCACTGGTTCCATCTCCAGTCAGACTAGAAACAGGTGGCTCAAAGTAGGATTGTAGGGCTTAGGGATGGGAGGATAATAAAGAGTTGGAGGACTGTCAAGCTGATGCAGAAAATCCCAGTGTTTGTTTTCCTGGTGCCCCCAGCTTCCCAGTACCCGCCTTTCTTGGTACTGACAACCTTGATTGCAAAACTAAACTGAGGGGAAGTTGGGGTGGAGAAACAGGGTTTGGGTTTAATAACACAGTACAAAAGCCTAAGGTCATTCGGAACCCAGGACTCAGATCCCAGAAGCCAGACAGCCCAGCTCTCAGCATAAAAGGAGTAAGAGGTACAGAGGCTACCCAGACCAGCCATGGTGAGTGTCCTATGTATCCCCTTACCCTCCACTTTTGTTGTTCTTAAGTCGTTTTTCAGCCGTGTCCAACTCTCTGTGACCCCATTTGGGGTCTTCTTGGCAGAGATACTGGAGTAGTTTGCCATTTCCTTCTCCAGCCCATTTTACTGATGAGGAACCAAGGCAAACAGTTACATGACTACACAGCTGTTTTGAGACTGGATTTGAACTCGGGTCCTCCTGACTCCAGGCCCAGCGCTCTATCTGCAACCTTCTACAGCCTCTCCCAGGCCCAAACCCTGTACTTCTCAGTGCCGGTCCGGGGCTGACTCCTTGGGTGGGGGCGTAGAGCAGGAGACCTGGGGGAGAGAGGGAGGAGAGAGGCATCGCCGGGCAGTGAGAAAAGACCGGGAAGAAGGGTATTCGAGGAAAAAGTAAGGTGAAGTCAGGTTGGGCTGGATTCTGAAGTCAAACTAGGATCTAGTACTCCAGCCATTAGCACTCCTCTGGGTCCCCTGTTTCCCCAGCAGTGGGACAAGCCTTGAGATAAACCGCTGATGTCATCCTCAGGAGCCCTGGCAGAGATTGCCGCTGCTGCTGCTCTATCCCCTGCTGTTGCTTCCCTGGTCATCATCCTCAACCTCCTGTATCCTGGACGAAGAGGGCGATAATTGCTTCTGCAACTTTTCTGCCCCGGAGCCTCAATGGAATGACATTGCGATGTGCCTTTCCGCTATAGAGGTGGAGATCCTTGGGGGCGGCCACGACTTGGATACCTTTTTACAGAAAGGAGGAGTTGCTGACCCCGGCAAAGCAGCGGATGTGCTGAAAGCGTTGCGCCTCAGACGGCTGAAGCTAAGAGAAGCCCAAGTCCCAGCCCCACTTGTGTACCAGCTCCTGCGGACGCTGACCTACACGCGGATTAAGGAGCTGACTCTAGAAGATCTGGTGATTTCACACCCACCCCTGCCACCTCAATCGCCCACTGACAGCGATGTGGGTCTGACAGCCCTGAAACTCAACAGAGTGTCGCTGGCTGGAGAGAGCAACTTACTGGCTGCCCTGGGGTCTTGGCTAAAACCTAGCCTGAAGACACTGAGTTTGACTGGTTTGGGCCTGAGCAATGTGCCCTGCCCAGACTTGGGCACCTTCAAGGAACTGAATTCCCTAGATCTGTCAGACAATCCAGACATAGGAGAGAGTGGCTTAACTGGGGCCTTCTGCCTCAAGGAGCTCCAGGCACTGAGCAATCTGTCACTTCGGAACACCAGCCTTGTGTCACTTGCGGAAGTGTGCCATGGTCTGGAGGCGACAGGAACAAATGTGCAGCACCTGGACATCAGTTACAACGAGCTGAGGGATACACCCCAGACTCAGTGTACCTGGCCTCCCACCCTGCTATCCCTCAATCTGTCCCACTCCAAGCTGAAGTGTGTGCCCAAGTCTCTGCCTAAGAAGCTGCTGCAGTTGGACCTAAGCTATAACCTGCTGATGAGGCAGCCGATGCCTACGGAGCTGCCCCAGGTGACCGACCTGATCCTCAAAGGGAACCCATTTGCTAACAGCATCACCTTAGCCAGATTACAAGGGGAACAGGCGTCAAAGGGCTGTGCAGTTCCTTCCCGTGGGACCAGGTCTGTAGGCACACCACTAGCCCTCCAGGTCTCAGGGACTGCAGCTTTGGTGATGCTGCAAGGGGTCAGAGTATTCGCCTGAAGGAGAGTGGAGAGCAACTGGGGAGGGGAGGAAAACATGTTCAAGTCCCACCTGGTTGCCTTGTGATTTCAGGGACTGCAGGGTAACCTGCCAGAGTGTCAGTCTCCACTACTTTTCATTAAACAAAGAACCTAATAAATGAGAAACAAAACGTCTGTATGCCTTATTTCTTTCTTCCCCAGAGGCTCTGAAGACTAGTTCAGGGACAATGGAATTGGGGGGTGGGGGGAAGAGGGAGGGTGGTGGGCACGGGGGAGGAAGAGGGAAAAATCTGTCACAACTGGGACTGCCCGTCATAAAGCAGAAGAGCCCCAGACAACGCACTGGTCACTATGCCTCCACCCAACTGGGAGTTGCCTTCCTGGAATCATAAACTTATATCGAAAGGAAGTTTGGATTTCACCAAGTCCAGAGATTCTTACCCTGAAGTCCCTGAACTTAAAATTAAAAAAAAAACAAAACTGAATTTCAATATAATTTGTTTCCTTTGTAATCTTATACATTTAATTTTATGCAATTCAGAACATTAAGGGGTCAATGAAAAAGGTTAAGAACCTCTATACCTCTCTCCCTTTCCTTTCTTCGTCTTCACTAAGATGGTCAGATCCCAGTGAGGGTCTGGAAATTCTGATCTCACCTCCCTAGAAGAGACTGGTATGTGTGGAATCAATTGGCTGTATTGGGAACTTGAAGGCTTGTGGGTGGAACAGAAGCAGAACTCTGGGAGACAAACACAGGTGGAAAATAGCCTGGTAGACATGGATTGGGGGACAGCAGACCCCGCCCTGAAACCACCAGATAGGACATGAATTATTAAGGAGAACCCTGGAGACTGCAGAACCATGACAAGCAGCAGCAAGCAGGTGAGTAGGAACTTGTCCTCCAGACTTCCCTAGTTGCTCAGCTCAGGGCCTAGGCCCCACTATTTTCTCTATCTTCAGGTTGGGCCTGCAACAGTGACAGTGGTTGTGGAAGTAGCATCCTTACCAGAGGCAGGTGAGAAATTCTTTCTAAGAGGTCAGGCCTGGAAGGAACCCTGAAGCTAGTAGGCTGGGGCCGGTTTCTCCTGTTCTTAACAGGAGAAAACTAAAGCAGAGTCTCACAGTGGCCCACCACGCTGTTATAGGTCATGACACCTGCAGCCCCAGATGCCTTTTAGATGGTCCTAAAATGCCCCTGCTAGATCCGGGAGACCCTGAGGTACTGTTGGGGTTGAGAAAGGTGGGACCAGGCATGGGGAGGATGGAGGAAAAAGAGGATGTAAATGAGAATTAATCTTAGTGACCCTGGTCCTGCACCTAGGAGCACCGATTCACATTTGACAGAGTCCTAGGCCCAGAACATGCACAGGTAGAACAAGGGAGTAGGTGGGGCATGGTTGGCAAGACCTTGTCCCTATCAGCCTCATTCTGTTTCTCCCCTCTGTAACATCATATACTACATTGCCCTCGAGACAACCCCTTCTGTGCCTTCCCAAGTTGGAGCATGCTATTTGGGGGTGGGGTGGGGGAACAAAGGAGGACTAGGGTGCCCCAGGCTGAAAATCTAGGGACCCAGTGGAACAGGGAGATGATTTCCCCAGAGAGGTAAGCTCTTGTCTATTGATATAGAAAGCAGAGCAGGAGTTTTTGGAGAACATTCGAGCTGTGCTGGGCTCGGTATCCAGAGGATACAGTGTGTCTGTGCTGATTAGAGGCAGAGGAGCCAAGAAACTGGATCTGGTTCCCCAGGTGAGGAGCTAGAATCCACTTTGCCTTACCACACAGTCCAGACTTGGTTGGACTTCAGACCAAAGGGACTGTCTTTTCTCATTTCCCACTCCACCTCTATCCTCTCTAATAATTTCCAGCTGCTGGCAATGCTGTTTGAAGAGATTCAACCCACAGGTGCTTCTGAACCTTCCCTCCGGACCCTAAGTCTAGTGCAGGTGACAAGATCTTGAGAGGGATTTGCAAGGACTGGGCAGCCCTAGAGAGTGCTCTCAAGGATTTGGAAGGCTTTTACAGGTTATACACAGACTTATCCCACGCACTCCCTTGCTTTTAGCTCAGTTCTAGCGGGAGGGGTCGAGACTTATTATTTCCTGGAACTAGCGACCTGACCTTGCTGGATGTGTACCCACTGGGTCTGTGAGTATGCTACCTTGCCCAGGATGGGCTCTCCCTTTCTCACTCCCTACCTCCTAGCACCATTCCCACAAAAGCCAGAGTTCAGCAGATTGTAATTTTTTCAGAAAGAGATGGAGCAGAAAAAGCATTATTTTACCCCATGGTTCTTTGTTCTCCCAGAGATCCTGTCTTCTGTACAGCTGCCCTGTTTAGGGCATGTATGTCTATGTGACATAGGGGTTACCTGCTCATTTTGTTCTTATGCTTGGGATTCGAGGCTTTGAAGGTCCTGTGGCAGAGGGACATAGTCCAGAGGTCCTGTAAACCTAGGTTTTTCCCTTTTTTCCCAGGGTAGTGGAAGGAGTTAGTGAAGCTGAGGTCCTTGACTCCAAGTCTGGTTGCCAACTTTACCTCAAGGCAATGGAAGGCTTGGACAGGTATGTGAGCTGTGGATGCTGGCAGAAGGGATGAGGAAAGGAGATCCAAACTTAGAAGGCAACCTAAGAAGCCCTGAGCTTAATCATTTTCTCCTTCCCCAGTATCTCCTCCCTTCTCACCTTGACGATATCCTGCCTGGGGCCCAGCACCATAAGGAGGCCCTGGGCCAGAGGCATGTGGCGGGGCTCACTGAGAGTCCTACAGCTTCCAGAAGCTCCGTGAGTCCAAGTTGGGATGGGGCAGCAGTTTGAGGGCTCCGTATAAAACGGGGCAGTTAGTTTCCCTAACTCATAAGAAGGACCTGCATTTTCCTTGGCCTTAGCCCTCACTCTTTGTAGGGACTGTCCTTTATTGCTGGCACTGGCAGGGAAGGCTTCTAAGGCCCAAATGGGCTCCTTGCCTTGGATTGTGACTCGGTTACTCTTCGGGAATAGTTACAGTAGCCTGCTGCTCCACTTGGATCCACAAGGCATGAAGGTAGGAAGGGAGGGAAGAGAAAAGAAGTAAAGTGAGATTTAATCTTTTCTGGGGAGAGTCCCCACAAAATTCTGCTCTCTAGGCTCCCCAGTCCTGCCTTTCCTTCTTCTCCATTGGCTCCTCATACAGGCTTCTTAGGGAAGAGTGGGCTTTGCATACCTAGTACCAGTCCAGTGGGAAGAGGCAGCCCAGTGTGATTCTTCGTAGAAGAGGTTAGGAGGAGTGGACAGGATTGTTCTTTGACTATATCAAAAGCCCATCTTGCTACCCATGAATTGGCCCCTCTACCTGCCTGTTTTCCCTGGCAGCTACCCCCTTGAACCTGCTCCTGGCCTCACTATCAGGGGCCACAGGAGCTCAGGACCCAGCCCAGTTAAAACAGGTTTCTCCCACACTGTGGGATGCTTCAGAAGAAATACAGGCCCGGCATGCAGCTGTTCAGGATCTGCGCTCTGGGCTCTCTGGAACTGTTCTACAGGAGAGCCAGCTTACCCAGCTGAGTCTGGTACTCAGGGAATTGAAGGTGAGATGGAACTAGGTACCACCCTTTCACCTAGGGCATCAGGGGCTCTGGAAACTGTTGACTAAACCTGCTATCTACAGGTACTGAAAAACCAAAGCCGGTACTGGGAGACTAGGCTGCTCAAGGGAGCTGGAGCCTCTGCACCTGGGCTTCCAAACCTGCAGGTATGTGGGTGCCAACTCCCTAGACCTTGAGATTGGCATTTTATCACCAAGACAGCTCTGGGACTAGGACTCTCAAGTCTTCTCAAAGCATCCTTTCCCAGTGCACTTGATTTCAAAGCTGGAACAGGACTGGGAGTAGTCAAGAGGACAAGCAATCACTTAGGGTGGAAAAAGGAACACTTTATTATGGTTTTTTATAAATGGACTATTTTTAAGGCAGAGGCAGTTTGGTCTAGTGGTGAACGGAGTGCTGGACTTGTAGGCTAGAACTTCTGGTTCAAATCCTACCTTACAGTGACAAGCTGGGCTATGATGCCTAAGACACTGAAAGTCTCTGAGCCTCTTCAGTCAAGTCTGTGTAAATTATAGGCAGGTTGAGGTCTATCTCCATTGCATACTTTTAATAATAGAAAATTCTGTTTTCTGTGGCAGCAGGTACGTTAGTGATGAAAAGTCCTCTGTTATCATGAATCAGAGGTCAAAGATCCAGTGAATAGTAACAATTTTCAGACCTTCGGGGGGAAGGGAAGAGGATGGGTAGGAGTACATACAGCTTGCTAGGGCTTTCCTGAATCTCCATCTTCCTCAAGGGACATCTCCCTGCTATGTTCCTTCCTAGGTCTATGAGGTGCTCTGTAGCCCTTCTATCCCTGCTCTTAGTCAAGCAATATATCTTACACATACTTAGAGGAATGGTAGAGGGACAGACCTCAAACTTAAAAACGCTGATTCTTATTTATTTTGTTACCTTGTTTATCCTGGCCCCTATTTATCTTAGAGCAAGGAAGATAAATATTCTGAGCATTCTTGAAGTCTAGCATCTGATCTCACAATCTTACTCTTTGCTTTTTAAATTAAATTAAATTTTTTTCGATTAACAAAAATCTACTTTCTCTCTCTTCCCACCTGATCCCTACCTCCACTGAAAAAAGAAAAACAAAAACCCTAGTAACAGCTACTCATAGTTAAACAGTTTTGTTTAACTATGAGTAGCTGTTACTAGGGTTTTTGTCTAAAAATGTGTCACACCATGGGCCTTGATTCTTTCCCCTCTGGGTCAGGAAGTGGGCAGCCTGTTTCATCATAGGCCTCTAGAATTAAGCTAAGTCATGGCATTTGTGGATGAGCATTCTTAAACCTCTCAAAGAAGTTTGTCTTTACAATGTTGTAATCATCAAGAACCTTTTCTTTTCAATGTTAACAATTACAGTTGCTTACAACTCACCTTTTACACTAAAATGAAAATATCTCCAACCTTGGGAGAAGGAGGCGTTGTTGTATTACAATGCATCTCCCCTCTAGGTACTAGAACTAGAAGAGGCCTTTTCCCCTGTTTTCCAGAAGCACCCCCAAGGTGAGTTTCAGGCCTTAGGGCCCAGACAGTGTCTTCTTGGGGTTTCTCACTTGTTTATCTTCACCCAGCACAGCCCTCCCTCACTCAAATCCAATTCACTTTCATGTCTTGGCATCACTTCCCTGAGGTCATGGTCCTCTTTGAGAACAAAGGACAAAGAACAGCAACAATCTTCATCCAGAATAAAAGTATTTCTCTTTGGCAGCAAGAACTTCAGAAACTCTGGGCCTGGGGAGGAAGCCAGCCCTGCCAGCAGCACCAAGAAACTGCCCTCTTGGGGCCTCCAAGAAACAGGCAAAGCTTCACCTATTCCTATAGGGAGTACATGGGGGGTTCCCCAGGGGTTAGATGCCACTGTGTGATGCCCCTTCCTGTGCGTGAAATCGATTTAAAATGAATGCCACATGAAGTCTGAAAGGAGGAAAGGAATCACAAAAGGGCAGGTTGCCTTATAGAAGAGGGAAGGGAAGTCCCAGAGCTTTACCTTGGTTAGGGTGGTGATGATCAGAAACAGATTATGGCTTTATTGGAGCATAGGATTTAGAGCTGAAAAGAACCACAGAGATCATCTAGTCCAATCTCATTATTTTCCGGATGAGGAAATTGAGGACAACAGAGATTAAATTATTTCCCTGAGATTACATAGGTAGTTAGTGGTAGAGTAGATATTTAAATTCAGGTCCTCTGACTTCATTCACATTCAGTGGTTTGACCATGATGCCTCTTCTTTTAGGAACAGTTTTGACAAAGCTACCTCTTATCTCTCTTGTACTGTAGCTCTGATCTTACTGCCCAGAAATTCACTGCCTATGGTGCTGAATCCCCTAAATCTGGGGTGAGGGCAATACTTGGAATTGGGAGCCTTGTGCTAGGGAAGACCAATAGACCCCAGTGGGGAAATTAGGCCTTATCTCTAAGGCAGGAATTCTTTTTAGAATCTAATTTAATTTTAAATTTATTTTTAACATTCTTTTTTTTTTTGAGTTCCAAATCCTCTTCCTCCCTCTATTCCCTCCTTCACCTATTTGAGAAGGCAAGCAATATGATCCCCATTATATATTTGAAGTCATGCAAAACATTTCTATATCAGTAGGGCAGGAGTTATTAAACCTTCTTTGTGTCGTGGACCCATTTGGCAATCTGATGAAGCTAATACTACTGAGGTTTGTTGCCTACCTTCATAATTGAAGGAACTGCTAGGTTTCAGTTAGCAACTAGTGAAAATAAATATGTAATTTTTTTCCTCATCCAAGGTCACAGACACCTAAAATCTAGTGGATCCCACGTTAAATATCCCTGCTCTGAGGCAAAGGAAAATGGGACTTGGCCAGATGAAAAGACCAGGAGGTAAGTCCTCCTGGTTGGTGTCTGATCTGTCTCATAGGCGTCTGATGTGGCACTGCAGTTTATGTTAGCACGGGCCCATAGGCAGCTGCTTCAGGAACATCACCGATCCCAGATCCAAGCGGAGCTGAGCTGCTTGTGAAAGGACAAGGAAACAGCAGCAGACCAGGTTAGTCCCAGATAGAGAAAGAGAATCAAAAAAGACCAAGACTAGGGCTAAGGCTGATGAGTAGGCTCATTCTGGGTCAGCAAATACCTGTTTTCTATCACAGGCCCCAGACCTATCTGCTGAGAGCCCAAGGTGGTGGCAGGATCACGCAGCACTGGTCTTACAAATGGAGGCACTGAGAGTGGAACGAGATGCAGCTGAACGGGACTTAGAGGCCCTGTATGAGTTACACGTGCAAGGAGCCCGGGCCCAGACCTACCACATGGTGCAGGTCAGAAGTGGACAGAGAATGGTGGCAGAGGAATGGCAGAGCTCAGGGGGGCTGCTGTTTACCCATGCTATGTCTTATACTGGCAGGCAGTCACTTGAGCCCCAGCTGACCAAATAAGTGGCTGAATTCCTCTAATCATCAACTTATCCTCTTAAAAGCACAGGTGTTCCGGGCTTGCCGGAGGCTGTGGAAGGAGCAGGCTGCTGCCAGGGAGTTCCATCACCGAGTCCTGTTGGCTGGAGTCTTACAGGATGTTGTCTCACTGGCCACGCAGAACCAACAACTCCAACTCCAGAACAAGCAACTTCGGCAGGGTGAGGATTATGTAGTGTAATGGAAGAGTGTAGGGAGGAAGTGGGATTCCAACTGTTCTTCTGATCTCAATCCACGAGTCTGTCTTGTACTACAGGGGAATACTATCAGGGGAAATGAGATTGGGGTACCAGCCTCGATCCTCCAACAGGGCATCATTGATTGTGTCCCCTATCTCCCAACAGAAAGCACAGAGAGGAGAAAAAAAGTTTAAGCTCTGGCCATCAGCCCTGACACCTTTTCCTTAAAGTAAAGGTATTCAGAACAGACCCCAGAGTCATACCTGTTCTGCAGGAGTCAAATAAAAATATTTACTGATCCTGACAACTAGCTGGAAGTTTCTGTTTCTTTACTCTCAGTTCCTTGTTTGGAGAAGAATGTGTAATATCACAAAACTTTAGAGAATGGAGGCCCCTCTGTCCTGGCAAACTCCCACCTTTTGTACCCCTGATTCCAGGGACTCAGTTGAGAATCTGTCAGTAGAAAACTGCTCTCTCCTACAACCTTCTGTCCCATAGCCAGTTTAATCTTCCCCTTACACAATCCCTTTCTTCCTCTTTATTCTCCTTTCATTGTGTCTCTGGAAATCCCCAACTATAATTAACAAAAATCTCTTCTTCCCAGATCTCTTCAGTTTACTCTTTTTTTTCTTTCTTTCTTTCTTTCTTTTTCTTCCTTCCTTCCTTCCTTTCTTTCTCTTTCTTTCTCTTTTCTTTCTTTTCTTTCTTTTCTTTCTTTCTTTCTCTTTCTTTCTTTCTTTCTTTCTTTCTTTCTTTCTTTCTTTCTTTCTTCCTTTCTTCCTTCCTTCCTTTCTTTTTTTTACTGGTACACTAAAACTACCTGTGTGAGCATGAGCAAATCAATGAACCTCTCTGGGACTCAGTTTCTTCTTCTGTTGGAATAAGATGCTATGATCTTGGTCCAGCCTCCTCTACTTAGAGTAAAGATGAAGAAAATGGAGCCCAAGGAGGTTAAGTGATCTGCCCTGGTCACATAGAACATGTCAGATGCAAAATTTGACCCCAAGTTCTCTGACTCCACAGCACTCTCTTTTCACTGTGACACATGACCTCACCATCTTCATCCTTGGGATGCCTCTTCAAACACCCTGGCTTCCATGATCTACATACACATATATACACACATATACATACATATACACATGCATATGTATGTGTCTATGTGTTTATATATGCTCATATATAATATACATATATAATTTTTCCAATTGCATATAAAATAATTTTAACACTAATTTAAAAAATTTTTGAGTTCTAAATTCTTTCTCATCTTCTCTTTTCTTCCCTCTATTGAAAAGTGAAGCAATTTGATATTTGATACATGTGTAGTCATTTAAAACATATTTCCATATTAGTCATGTTGCAAAAGAAAACATAAACCAAAAAAAAAACCCAAGAAAAATGAAGTTAAAAAAAAGTATGCTTCAATCTGCATTCACACTCCATCAGTTCTTTCTCTGGAAGTAGATAACATTTTTCATCAAAAGTCCTTTGGAATTGCATTGTTGTATTGCTGAGAACAGCTAAGTCATTCACAGTTGATCATCACACAAATACTACTCTTACTATGTTCAGTGTTCTCCTACTTCTTCTCACTTCACTTTACATCACTTCATGTAAGTCTTTCCAGGTTTTTCTTTTTTCTTTTTCTTTTTTTAAAAATTAATTAATTTAATTTTCCAGGTTTTTCTGAAAGCATCATGCTCATTATTTCTTATAGCACAACAGTATTTCATCACATCCGTATATTATAAGTTGTTCGTTTATTCCCCAATTGATGGACATCCCCTCAATTTCAAATTCTTTGCCACCACAAAAAGAGCTGCTATAAATATTTTTGTACATGTAGGTTCTTTTCCCTTTTTTATCATCTCATTGAGATACAGACCTAGTAATGATATTGCTGGGTCAAAGAGTATGTATGGTTTATAGCCATTTGGGCACAGTTCCAAATAATTCTTCAGAATGGTTAGATAAGTTCACAATTTCACTAGCAGTGCTTTAGTATCCCAACTTTCCCACACCCCCTCTAACATTTATCATTTTCCTTTTCTGTTACATTAGGAAACATGATATATTTTTTAAAATTTCCTAATTGATACATTTTGGCAAATTAATCACTTCCCAGTAAATTATTCTCCTATAGTATTTTGTCATAAGAAGTTAAGTAAAACCTAATTGTGACTGACGAAGCATACTACTTTCCACTCTTAAAGTTTATCTTTCCTTAATAGAAAGGAAGTTTTTTAGCCGAAAACCATGATCTACATACAGCTTCATTCCATCTCAGCCATAGAGATCATCGTGTCTTAGATCTTATCCTCACACGTATCTGTGTCACCTTTGTGATTTTGAACTCCACTATTACCACCCTTTGATAATAATCTGACCTATTTCTCCCTCTCTTGAACTCTTCCTAAACACATTCTTTATATTCACTTTGACCTGCAGGTCCCTCCTCAAGTCTGTTCTACTCTGGCCTTACTTTCCTCCCTTCACATTTTTTTTTTTTTTGGTGAAGCAATTGGGGTTAAGTGACTTGCCCAGAGTTACACAGCTAGTGAGTGTCATGTGTCTGAGTCTGGAATCTCAGGTCCTCCTGACTCCCTTCACAATCTTAATGGTAGTTGACCAGTTTAGCTACACCTTGTCCTCTCCCCTAGAATCCTTTGCTCCCTTGACCTAGGTCCATTCAGGCCTGCTGATATCTTCAACCCTGGGGTCAACCCATCATCTGCTACCAACTGGGTACAAATTAATGTTATCTAAAGTAGGTCTTTATCATTTCATCTTTATTTCTTGCAATCCTTTTATTCTTTCTTGTCCCTATAGCCATCTTATCTGTAGCTAGTGAAAACCTCATCTTTCTTCAAGCCTCTTATCCTACTCTGAACAGCAACATCCCTTGTACAGCAAGGAGATCAAATCAGTTAATATTTAAAGAAATAATTCAGGCTATTCACTGGAAGGTCAAATGTTGAAGCTTAAATACTTTGGCCACATAATGAGAAGATGGGATTCACTGGAAAAGACCTTGATGTTGGGAAAGATTGAAGGCAAATGGAAAGGGGAATGGCAGAGGATGAGATGGATAGATAGTGTCATAAAAACAATGAACAGACTTCAAGAGAGTAGAGGATAGAAGGGCCTGGTGTGCTGATACAAAGAGTTGGACATGACTAAACAGCAATAACAACTTGCCTCACCCTTCTTTCTCTGAAGGGGACTCTTGCTTGACTGAAAAACCCCAACCAACCAAACAAGACTATTAGCTCTAGTCTCTAATAACAGCATATATGTAATGCTTTAAAAGAATGCAAAGTACTTTAACTTTTTTTCATTTTGTTCTTAACAACCCTGTGAGGTAGGTGCTACCATCGTCTTCATTTTATAGATGAGGAAATGAGGCCCAGAGAAAATAAATGAATTGCCTGTAGTCAGACAGCTAGAAAATGTTTGAGGAAGGACTCAAATCCATTTCTTCCTGACTTTAAGTTCAGCATTCTACTCACCATGGTACAGTGCTATCCATACTAATGTCAACTCCTTTTTTTTTTTGGCCTTTGATTCCATTCCTTCCCAGCTCCTAAAGTAAAATATGAGGGGCAGCTAGGTGGCACAGTGGATAGAGCACTGGCCCTGGAGTCAGGAGGATCTGAGTTCAAATTCAGCCTCAGACCCATAACACTTACTAGCTATGTGACCCTGGGAAAGTCACTTAACCCCATTGCCTAGCCAAAAAGACAAAAACAAAAAAAACAAACAAAACTAAAGTAAAATATGAGCTCCTTAAGGCTAGGGATGATTTTGGTTTTGTATTTGTATCTATAGTGTGTGGCACATTTTTTAAAAATCTGGACCTGTGATTTCATCAGTGAAGGGAACTCTTGGTCTGGAAATTCCCTCTATAGGTACAAATCAACAACTCATCTGTAACTTACAATCTCCCCTTCACTGTAAAAGTCTTTTCTTGTCTGTTTTATGTGAGATAAGTTCTATCTCTCCCTTTCTCCTTTTCCCAGTATAATCCTCTCTCACCCCTTAACTTTATTCACCACCTATCACCCCTTCATCTTCAACTCGCCCTGTGCCCTCTATCTAATTTTTTTCCCTCCAACTACCCTAATACTGACAAAGGTCTCATGAGTTACAAATATCATCTTTCCATGTAGGAATGTAAACAGTTCAACTTTAATAAGTCCCTTATGATTTCTCTTTCCTGTTTACCTTTTCATGCTTCTCTTGAGTCTTTGTATTTGAAAGCTGAATTTTCAGCTCTGGTTTTTCATCAAGAATGCTTGAAAATCCTCTATTTCACTGAATATCCATTTTTCCCCTGAAGGATTATTTATACTCAGTTTTGCTGGGTAGGTGATTCTTGGCTGTAATCCTATCTCTGACCTCTGGAATATTATATTCCAAGCCCTCCAGTCCCTTAATGTAGAAGCTGCTAAATCTTGTGTTATCCTCATTGCGTTTCCACTATACTTGAATTGTTTCTTTCTGGCTGCTTGCAATATTTTCTCCTTGACCTGGGAACTCTGGAATTTGGCTACAGTATTCCTAGGAGTTTTCCTTTGGGGCTCTCTTTCAGGAGGTGATTGGTAGATTCTTTCAATTTCTATTTTAGCCTCTGGTTCTAGAATATCAGGGCAGTTTTCCTCAATAATTTCTTGAAAGATGATGTCTAGGCTCTTTTTTTTGATCATGGCTTTCAGATAGTCCAATAATTTTCAAATTATCTCTCCTGGATCTATTTTCCAGGTCAGTTTTTTTTTTGTTTTTGTTTTTTTAAATTTTTAGGCAATTGGGGTTAAGTGACTTGCCCAGGGTCACACAGCTAGTAAGTGTCAAGTGTTTGGTCTGAGACCATATTTGAACTCAGATCCTCCTGACTTCAGGGCCGGCGCTCTATCCACTGCGCCACCTAGCTGACCTGACAGTTCTGCTTTTTAAGGCATTCTCCTCATTGGTTTTTTGGATCTCTTTTGCCATTTGGGTTAGTCTATTTTTTAAGGTGTTATTTTCTTCAGTATTTTTTGGGGTCTCTTTTAGCAAGCTGTTGACTTGTTTTTCATGATTTTCTTGCATTACTCTCATTTCTCTTCCCAGTTTTTCCTCTACTTTTCTTACTTGCTTCTCATAATCCTTTTTGAGTTCTTCCATGGCCTGGGACTGAATTCATATTGTTCTTGGAGCCTTTGGATATAGGAGCTTTTACTTTGTTGTCTTCTGGTTGTATGTTTTGATCTTCTTTGTCACCAAAGAAAGATTTTATGGTCTGACTTTTTTTTTTGCGCACAGTTTGCTTATTGATTATGATCAATTACTTGAGTCTTAAACTCTTTGTTAAGGTAGGGGTCTGCTTCCAGTGTAAAGAATGATTGTCCCAAGCTTTGGGGGTTTTGTGCAGCTGTTTTCAGAGATACTTGTGGGGACTTAGTAAATTTTCAGTTCTTCCAAGGTGGTACAATCAAGGGTGAAGTGTAATGCCTTTCCTGGCCTGTACTTTGGTCTATGAGTGACCACAAGCACTCTTTTCTGCCTTGGAACTGTGAGGAAGATTCCCTCTCCACCACTACTACAAGCTCTACCACGCCAGCACTCCTCCTTGCCCCAGGACTGCCACCCAGAGCTATGACCCAGATCCAAGCAAGGGCAAAGCAAGAGAATCCTGCCTCAGCACCAGCAAAGAGATCCCTGCAATCCCCCTCTGATCAGCTACTTGATTTCCCCTCAGTCTGTGGGCCAAGAGCTCCAGAAGCAGCCACCACCCTGGCGCTGCGCTGAGACTGAGGCTGGGACCAAGTTTCTCTCTCACCATGGTCACAGACTTTTTCCTATTGATCTTCTAAGTTTTCTTTGGTGTTTGTGGGTTTAGAACTCTGGAAATCGCCACAGCTGCCTATGATTCAGTCCTCTGAGGCCTGCTCCAGGTTTGCCGAGGCCTGGTCTTTAAAGGCCTGTGCACCCACACTGAACTGTGTTCCTCTCCCAGCTCAGCATAATACACCTTTTCAATCAACCATCCAGGTTGTCTTGGCCTGAATTTGTTTCACTGTCTTTTTGTGGATTCTGCTGCTCTAGAGTTTGTTTAGAGCCATTTTTTACAGGTATTTGGGGGGCTTTGGGGAAGAGCTCAAGCAAGTCATTGCTTTCACTCCACCATCTTGGCCCCCCCTCCCATAGTATCTTAATTGTCCACTCAGCAGCCTTTGCTCAGTCCTCACTCCCTGAACTCTTGACAGCTCCTATTCCTATGGGTCCAATTATTACTGGGACACAGTGGACTGAGCACTTAGCTTACAGTCAGGAAGACTTAGGTTCAGATATGACTTTTGATATGTCCTCACTGTATGACCCTAGGTAAGTCACTTAACCTGTCTGCCTCAATTGTCTCAAATGTAAAGCGGAGATAATAACAGGATCTACCTCACAAGGTTGTTGTGAAGATTAAATGAGAATTTGTAAAGCACTTAGCACAGTGCATGGCACATAGTAGGTGTTGTTCCCTATCTTATCCTACCCCCATGCAGATGTCTGTGATTTACATATCTAACCCCCATTTTTCTCCTAAGCCCCAGTCCCATATTACTACCTGATGGGCAGCTCTGTCTAGTTTGGCCCATAGGCAGCTCATATTCAACATTATCTAAAACCATACTTCTTTCCCCCTACATTCACTCATCTTCTTAACTTCCCTGTATCTGTTGAGAGTGCCGTCTTTCAAGGTTCCTAGGTTCAAAACTTGTCACTTAACTCTTCACTCTCTTAACCACAACCTATTAATCAATGTCTTGTCAATTCGACCTCCACATATCTTACCTTTGTCCCTCTCTGTACTCACATCATCAGTAGCTTAGTTTTGGTCCTATCACCTTACCCAGACTATGGAAATTGTCTCCTAATTCAATTATCTGCTTCAATCTCTCTCTTCTCTTATCCTTCCTTCATGCAGCAGCCAAATTGATATTCTCAGTGCTCAGGTCTGACCATGTTCTCTTAGGAAACTTTGGTGTTTATTTCCTTAGGATAAATACTAACTCATTTGGCAATTCAATTTATATTGCCAGTTTGGTTTGCTATTACTTCCTAATGTGCACTTTACATTCCAGCCAAACTGGCCTACATGCTGTCCCATGTAGAAGACATTTCATTTTCTGCTTTTGTGCCTTTGCATAAGCCATCCTCCATGCCTAGAATGCTTGTCCTCCTCACCTCCGTCCCTTAAAAGTCCTACTTTCTTTCAAAAAAAGAAAAATACTTCAGATATATGTGTGTTGCAGCCACCAAAGGAATGTAAGATCCTTAAGAACAGAGACAATTTGTATCTTTGAATCCCCAGTGCCTTGAAAATTATTTTTTGGTCTAGACCTCCAATTTCTCTGGTACACGGAACTCCCGTGAGCAAACTCCCTGTACCAATGCAGATTAACATGTTTTGTAACTGAGAGAGGTAGCCAGGCACTTAATAAATTCACTCACTGAAGTGTACCAAATTGAAAGTGAAAAATGAGGTCGGGAAATGGCATGGTTAGGAAATACGGAATCTATTTTCTCCGTGTACAAGGAGAGAAAGGAATAGATATGAGAAACATGGAAGTAAACTTGACAAAGCTGAGTAACTGACTACATGAGGGAGATGGAAATGACTTTTGAGGTTACAAGATTCTTACCAGGAAATCAGCAATTCCTTCAAGAGAAACAGGGGAATCTGAAGGTGCTGGTTGTGGAGGGAAGGGGGTGGAAGCAGTGAAGATAATCATATCTTGTGGACATTTTAAGTTTGCAGGGTCAACTGGACATCCAGGAGATGTATAGCAGTTACATTTCCCCATGTACTCTTAGCATTCAGGAACTGACAAAGCTGACAAGGGAGAGTACAGGAGCGGGGGTGGGTCTACCATAGTATCTATGTTAAAAAGGCAGGAGGTAATGATGATTCAGCTAGGGCTAACAGGGAAGTTACACAGGAAAACCAGAAGAGATGACCATAGAAGCCAATAGAGGGATTATTATCCAGAAGAGGAATAACAACAATTAATTAAAAGTGACAGAAAGATCAGAAGATTAGAAAAGAGAAAAGTTAATTCAATTTAGCCATTTAAATGACTGCCAACCTTTGAGGAAACCATTTCACTGCAGACGATTGGGGTCAGAAGCAGACTACAGCGGGTCAAGGAGTGAGTGGAACAGTAAGGAAGTTATTGGACATTTTAAATTTAGAGGGTTTTTTGGTTTGTTTGCTTTTTTCCCTCCTGGAATATATAGCAGTGAAAAGGCCTGGGCCTGGGGTTCTACTCTACCGGCTCATTCTTGTTTTAATGAAAGCACAAACCACTCTGGCAGCCAGTGACCTCATGGTGCCTGTAACATGAGATCCACACCATTAACCTACCTCCTAAGGTGTATGTGATACTCTCCAAGATCCTCAACTCAGCAGCAGCAAGTTCAATTAGAAACAGGGGTAGTGACAGTTTACAAAGGACACAAAACACAGACAGCATGGCAGATGGTAGGGAAATCCCTACTCCCAGAAATACTTTATTGAGACTTTATTGCTTATGCAGTTAAGTAGACACTGATTGAGCTATAGAAAAATCCCACATGCCCTAGTCTAAGTTACTCCTGTAAAGGAGTCTCCCTCTTACTAGAAAGTTAAGGGTATATCCCAGGAAAGGTGGCCAGATTGAAGATCTAAGAACAGAATACTTCCAGGCAGGAGCAGGGTCCAGGAGTGTAAAGCAACAGAGCTGATGAGAGCCCTCCAGACTGCAGCAAAAAGGTAGGGGCCATAAGAGAGGGCAAGTAGCATTCCTTGTGAACCTGAGAGGCTCATCTCGTTTGATTAAGGAGATTCAGTCCTGACTGTGGAAGAGTAGCGGCACAGAGGGGAGCAGTTGAGTTTTTCCCAGTAAATGCTGGCGCTCACTGGGGGCAGTGGAAGGGGGGGAAGGGGAGAGACACACATGAATGGTAAAGCTGCCAGACAACATGGACCCTGGCTGATGGGACACAGAAGGAGGTCAAAGTTGCCCTACAACATTTTGACTTTCTGGTGCACTGCTGTAGGGTCTGAGAGAATAAAGGGGAAACAAAACAAGCCAGTTACTAGGCTACACAGAGATTCAAGATGGAGTTTAAATTTCCACAGCAGGAGGGATGGAGTAAGGAGATCGGGACATCAGGACCGATACAGTAGGAAAGTAGCTAGGTCTCAGATCTTCCACACAGCAGCTGATAGAGGCAGGATCCCTAACTGATTTCCCTCTGCTCTACACAATGATGGGAGCAGAAAGGAATTATCAGAATCTGGGGGACAAACTTGAGCTGTTTTGGTGTTTCCTTGGCAAAAACTCAATTTTGATTCAGGCCTCCATGGGCTCCCCTCATCTCCTACCAGGGGCTTCCCTAGGCCTGACTGCAGCTCTCTCCTCTCAAAGGCACTTCTATTAGGGATTCTGATGGAGAATAGTATGAGGAAATAGCAGGCTAAAGCCACATGGGAAGGAAGAAGTGCAGTCACTTAGAGGGCTGCAGATAGGCTAGAAAGAGGCTAAGATCAGAGGACAGTACATAGTGGAACCACCCCTAAGGATAACCTCCCACATCCCCCATCCTGATGGGCCTTCCAACTCCATCAAGGAAGGAGAGAAGCACCTTCTTCAAGAGGTAAGTCCTTGGTTACTGGAAAGGACAATGTTGACTGCAATGATATCGAGCCTATGTTAATAGCACTGGAGGGCAAAACAGTTCCAGCGGGTGAGCTTTCTAGCCCTACTGGCCTCCATAGTAGAGATGTACAGCCAGACCAATAAGCAGGAGGGCCAGGAAGAAGGCAGCCGTGAGCTGGAGGTGAAGCAGGGCGGATGAGAGCACTGCATTGACAATCAGTGAGGAGGACACAACAAAGAGACGGGTGATGCTACTCCCATGCTTCATGATGGCTGACATGAGCAGTCCATTGAGGGCCTGGCTCAGTACCACCAGCCCTGCCCAGGCTGAGAAACCTTCTAGAAGCCCAGGGCCTGGCCCACCTCCCACATAGAGCCCCAAGTTCACAAGTACCCCAAAGGAGTACAGGAATAAGTTCTGCAAGGCCAAGGGCAGGCGCTGCCTCTTCATGAGCAGCTCGGTGTAGACTGAGGAGAGGCCTGAGATGAGGCAGTAGAGCAAGAGCAGCAGCAGACCCAGCGGGGTAACGTGCAGGGGCATGGCTGCGGCTGGAGGGGGTGGGAGGAGGCCCTGTGGGTCCTGGAGGCCTGCAGCAGCATAGCAGGCTCCAGCTCCAGTCAGTAGCAGCAGTGCCAGCCCCTGCCTGGCAGAGAGGCGGCGGTTCAGGCAGAGGCAGTAAAGAAGAGCTGTGCTGCCAATCTTGAGGTTGCTCATCACTTGGTAGGTGCTGGGGTCCATGTACTGTTGCAGGTGAATGACAAGGTTGTTGTTGGCACCATAGAGCAGGGCAGAGAGTGCAAAAGGGGCAGCCTGACGCCAAGGTGGAGTGTCCCATAGTCTTGGCTGCCGCCTGGCCATCAAAGAGCATGCTGATAGCAGTAATTTGGTCAGTTCGGTCCAAAGCACAGCTGAAGAGGGGCGGAAGGGGACACGGCCATCTATTCGACACAAGGCCAACAGTGGGGCATGGGCACCACACATGGTTGTGGACAGGAGGAGCATAAGCACCCATCGGGCCTGGCTTGGGCGCCCTATGCCCGGTATGCCCCCTTCTTCCACATTCATCCCCACTCTACCAACCTATGCCTTTAGGTAGGTAAGTAACGGCAAGAGTAAGAATGGGAAGGAAAGTCTACAGAGTCCATCTGGTAAAACTGAGTGATGGAGCCAGCTCCTAGGAAAGGGAATGCAGGACACATTATCAACCTGACAAGGAACTAGGTAGGCCACAGGTTAGAGTCAGAAGTGGACGGAGCAGGGACATGTACACGTGTGTGAGCTTGCACGCACATACACACACACATGCATGCTATAGTCTAGAAGCACAGATGCTGGAGGGAAGAAATAAGGATATGGGTGTAGGACAAAGAGAAAACATCTGTGGTCTCCAGCAGCTGAGTAAACTAAAAGCCTGGGGAGGAGACTGAGCAAGATAGATGGCCTCTATCTTTGATGACCCTATACAGTCAGACTTTGCTGCCCATCCATGCTGACCCAGATTCCAAGGCTCTTCCTCAGAGGGCTGAGGCCCCTCCTGAGGAGGGCCTGGAGGGAGGACTGCTGAGGGTGCACTAGTTAGGTCCCTTACGAAGGGCTTGGAGATAATCCTGCAAGGTCTTCTCAACGTTGGGGACTGCATAGGACTGTGCTGCATACACACCAGTGCATACACCAACTGCGAAGCCCATCACTGCAGATGCTCTTAATTTGGCTACAACATAGCCGGCCAGGAAGCCCTTGAGAAAAGGAGATGACAGGAACGAGCCTTCCTGCAAGAAAGCCAGAGACAGGCAGAATGGAAAACACAGGAGTAAGAATCAAATTGGGACACATGCCTGAGCAACGACGCTAAAACTCCCTGCCTCCATCTCCTACCAAGAGCTTTCTAAGTACAGCTCAGTCCCAAGCTACCCCTGAGCTCCACATGAATAAAGTGAAGCACATAGAGATATTTTCTCAACTTTGTTGAGCCAGAAGACCCAGGAAGAATCCTAACCCACTTCTACCAGTTCTAATCATTTAAGCCTCTGCCACTTAGTAATTGAGCCTCCTATGCCACAGTTCCCTTTCTGTGACTTACAGGGCTCCTGTCTACACTCTATTACAAAATTGCAGGCAGACATCATTAGCATATAGGATGTGGACACCAGAGGGAGGAAGAAAGTGTTCCAGAGAAGTACCAAACATCAGGGTTCAGGTGGGGAGTATGTGGGTATATTTGTGCTTTCATGACAACCTTATCAATTACCTGTTCTACACCTGTCTTGACTTCCTCCTCTAGTCGCCGCTGTAGATGTTCCAGCTGATTCTTTAGAAAAGCCAGGTCTTTCACCTTTGGCATCGAGTCCTAGGGCAGGAGAGAAGCTTTCTACAAGACAGTCTGAGTCTTCTGTACCCTGTCCCCCTCACCCCTCTTCAACGGCTATCAAGGTTCAAGGGGAAACAGGGAAAACCAAAGAATAGTAAATTATGATTTTCCCAGCATACTCCATTTGTTTCCCAAGGCAAGGAGTATTTCCACTTTTGGGGTCCTTCTCTCACTATCCTCACCTTGGCCTAGCACTGGCAGCTTCAAACATTATTGCAAGGAAAAAGTAATGTTCCAAAGGCAGGAGCCTCAAACCTTTATCCCCAAGTGATTCCCTTTTGAAATAATGAGATTGCACTTTCTATACAAATTCATCAGATTTAAGCCTTTTTATAGATAGATGGATAACTTGATTTAGTATTTAGATAAAACAGAATTCTTTCTTGCCCAAACTCTTCAGCTCTAAACCTGAAATTTTAAAAATTTCTCCCCAGAATTGAAAAAGAACATTGTTATGGGGTACTATCTTCAGGAGAGGGGAGCATGGGGAATTTTGAATTCCTTGGAACGGTAGGCTTTGGATCACATGGAAGGTGTTGGATGGCTCTATCCCTGGTCTGGGTAAATCTGTTCCCCAGAATACTTTAAACTGAGCTTGGAACAGAGGAAGACATGAGATGGAGCTGAGCTGGCTCCCTTGGAAGTCTAAAACCTTCTAATACTTAAAACCAAAAGAGAAATAATGGGCTGCTTCAGGAGATCAGGGGTATACACCCCCTCATCAATTGCTACAACATCTTCAAGTGGAAGCTGGGGATGTCTACCTGTCAGGGATGTTGTAAAAGAGATTCCTGCTAAACAATGGGATGAACTAAATGGCCCTTTCAACTCTGAGAGTCTTTGAAAGTTTTCCTAGCGTTAATGGAACATGTTTCCTTCTCCTTGCCCCCCATGCCATTTGTTTAAAACACACCATAAGCCATGATGTTGACAGGAGGGTCTGGGAGGAGAAACACTTGTTTCCTATTTCTCAGTAAAGTTCCCTCAGCAACTCACTACCACCTCATGCAGAAGTTTTAACCTGGGCCAAGGAACAAGGTGTCAGAGAGCTGGAATAGGGACATAAATTATCGTCATGCAGGAGAACACTAGCTGAAGTATCCGCCAGACCTTCCCTGAACTTTCCTTTCCCCAAGTGTTTGCCTTCTAAGAAAATGGATGGAGGTCGGAGAGGTAGGGCTGACTCGCCATACCTGACTAGCCATTTCTTCCCACTCCAATCCTCCTGCAGAGAGAGAATGCCTGGAGAGAAAGTGGTCTTGGAGGTTAGTTAGTCCAGCCTCTCCCTAGGGAGGGAAAGCAATTCCGGGGGCCAAGGCCATACAGCAAATTTAAATGTCAGCGCTAGAATCAGAACGCAGGTGTCCTGAACTCCTAGCTTACAGCTCTTTCCGTGGGGTTGGCGTTTGCAAAGTTGAGACAATGGGTTCGAGACCCCGAATGGTCTCTCTGGGGGGCGCGGGGGAGAGAGAATAGCCCTGCTCCCTTTGGCCCCACGCTTGCATGGACACTCACCTTGTCATCCGCCATTTTCCCCCGGCGCGCTCAGTGCGCAGCCGCGGCCACGCCCCCGCGCACCGCGACTTCCGGGAACGCCCCGTGAGGCGAGGCCAGTTGCTGTCTGTCTTATGTCGAACCACCGGATTGGGCATCTTTGCGCCCGTGTGCAAGCGTGCGCGGTGGGGCGGGTGTGAGTGTAAGCTGGGCCCGCGAGGACAATGTGCGTACGTCTAGGTCGTGGGGGCCGAGCCGAACACCCGTGAGGCTCTGTATGGGTGTGTGGGCCACGCTCCACGGCCGGGCACCCGCCCTCGTCGAGACGATGAGCTCATAGCGGCCCAAAGGAAGGGGTCGGGGGTCCTCCTGCGTCCACGTGCACAAGCACGCACGCAGATCACACCCGCACCCACGTGCCCGCGCAGCCAGCGGGGGGGACCCCCCCTCCACCACGCCTGCGCACGTGCGTGCCTGCGGACACCGCACTCCCGCTTCTCTGAGCTCACCGTGACCCGGCCCCCGGTCCCGACTCCGCCCTGTGTTTGTGCAGCTCTGGCCCCGCTCACTGGCGCAGAGGGGCCGGGCTTGTAAGAGCCGCATCCCCGAGGTCGGGCTGGGAGGACGGGCTGGGGCCGGTGCCATGCTGGGCAAGGACTACATGTTAGCTATCATCTTGGTCAACTGCGACGGTGCGTGGGGGTCCGGGGTGCGGTGGGCGCACCGAGAGATCCGGGGAGAGGGGAAGATTAGGGAGCTAGGGATGGTGGGGAGGGGAGGGTGGCAGAGGTGTGACTGGAAGAGACCGCGGCCGATGAACCCCGGCTGGAGCCAGCAGGACCAGATACTTGCAAAGAGGGACCGGGACTTAGGAAGGGTTTGGATCGGGAGGCGGTGGGATGTTGCATCCTTGAACTATAGAGGGAGCAACTGAAGCAGACCAGAGACACTGATTCCAGATGCAGCTGCAGAGCCCTGGGTATGTCTGGTCTGTACTTCAAACTCTGCTAGCCTCACACCCGTCGTGGTTGTCCGTTCCCATCCCAGAACAACCCAGGGACACACACAGGGCACAACCCAGGGAAAGAAGCTTGGTGTATATAACTCAGGGATTCTTATTCTTTTTTTTGTGTCATGGACCCGTTTGGCAGTCTGGTGAAGCCTATGGATCTCTTCTCAGAATAATGGTTTTTTAATACATGAAGTAAAATACATACCATTATAAAGGAAGCCAGTTGTATTAAAATGAAGTTATAAAATTAAGAAAAAAATTCACAGATCCCAGGTCGAGAACCCTCGGAAAGGAGTCCCTATTTTGCTTGCTTATTAGCTATGTGACTCTGTGCAAGTCACTTTAGCTCTTTGAGCCTCTTTTTCCTCATCTGCAAAATTAGAGAGTTGGATGAGATGATCACCAAGGCCCTTTCTGGCTGTACTTGACTGTAGGGCTTGGGGCTGCATTAAGTCTGAATACCCTAGAGTCTACAGTTGACCATGGTGCTCTTACAGATGACTTGTGGGGTGACCAGAGCCTAGAGGGAGAGCCAGGGTTGCCTCCTGGGTGGCGGAAGATCCATGATGCTGCTGGCACCTATTACTGGCATGTACCCAGTGGCAGTACTCAATGGCAGCGCCCGGTCTGGGAACCTGGGGATTCTGTACCACTTGACTCGGTATGTAGGAGTTGGGGAAAGGATGATAATGTCTGTTGGGGCTGGGGAGGATAGTAATCCTCTTGTTAGGTCCCTGATCTACTCATTTGACTTTAAGTTGACCTCCCTCTCCATAGGGCACAGAAGGAGCTTGGGGATTACGACCCCCCAAGGGGAGATCTTACTCTAGCCTGGAAAATTCACTGGACCGAAGGTAATCAGGATAAGGATGTGAATGTCAGTGTCTGCTGAACTCCCTACCAGGAGGCAGGGAAAGGAGAGGGCAGTTGGATAATCTGACTTGTGGCTGAATAACCAAAGTCAATCATCTTGCTCATTGGCTACCATGTTAGAATTATGTTTCCTCTTCTGGGCACTTTGGGTTCTGAGTGAATTGGTGTTCTTCCCTATGGGGAGCATCCTCTCACCAGCCCTGCTCTATTTCAGGACTTCTCTACCGTGGTGCGGGGAAGAAGCCTACATCCCAAACATGGAACCAGGCTCCAAGGTAGAGGGTGGTGGGTACCAGTGCCTACTTTTGAGCAACAAGGATCCCCTGGGAATTTGGAGACAGGCATTAATGAGCACTTAGAATTGGAGCCTGGACCAGAGACATCTCTGGGTATGGGGTGGTAGGGAAGGGTCATGGGAGAGACTATCATTAGGTACAAAGGAGATCATGGCTTATGACTCCAGAGCCTAGTGGGCATCATGTACTACACTTTGGTCCCCTCCTTTCATAGGGGATGATGGGCTTACTTGATGGGATGATGCCGATGCCTGCCGTGTGCCCATGGGCAAGACATTTAACTTTTCTGAAACTTAGTTTTGTCACCTGTAAAATAGAGGAGTGTACTATCTTCCTCATGGTGTCATGGGGCTAGCACATTGTAAAACATCTAATTAAGCCCTGTGTAAGTGTAAGTTGTTTCTGTGATAACTACAGGGACCCATTTGTATAGGAGAAGCTTGGGTTCTCATTCCTGCAACTCCTAAATCCCCTCTTCCTCAATTAACCCTTTCCCACCTGGCCCTCCTGTCTATCAGTGCTTTGCAGTACGATCTCTGGGCTGGGTGGAGGTGCCTGAGGAGGACTTGGCACCTGGAAAGAGCAGCATTGCTGTCAATAACTGCATTCAGCAGCTGGCACAGAGCCGGGGTCAAAGCCATCCACCTGCTAGGGCCTGGGGTGAGGTGAGTGTACCCATTGGCTGCTTGAACTCTTGTTCCCCTCTCTCAATTCCCCTCTTCTGTGGCTTGGGTTGGAAGGACTCAGAGGCTGGATAGAAGTGGCCAGTATCCCTGGTTGGGGACCTTCAAGCTTAGAGGCAGCAAAACACACTAGGCTTTTTGAAGTCGTTTGAAAAGGTTCAAATCCCTATTAGTAATTGTGTGTTACTTTGGACAAATGTTACTTCCCCACTCTATTAGACTAGATCTCATCTAAATCCCTTTCAGTTTTAAGTACTGTGATCCTAGGGGCACAGAGAATTTGCTCTGATTTTTTTTCTTTGTCCTTCCCCGAACCTCTGGATCTGGCCCTTTAGACTCACTTCCTTGTCCCGTATTCCAAAAAGCCATCCTCAACCTCAGTATCCCCTTCAAGGCCTCCAAAGTCATTCATTACTCTCTTCTTGTCTGCCCCCATCTCCCCTGGGGACTCTGCAGGGTCAGAACATGTTGATGATTCTGAAGAAAGACACAATGAGTCTGGTGAATCCCTTGGACCACAGCCTAATCCATTGTCAGCCCCTTGTGCACATTCGAGTCTGGGGTGTGGGCAGCACCAATGGCCGGTGAGAAATTCCTGGACAACTGATTTTCCTGAGGATTCGAAGCCCCTCTCCCCCAGGAGTGATTTCTCTGACACTGACCCCCATGGACTCTGATTCCCTGACTTTGCCAAGCTGAACCTTGATTCTCGACCCCTTCCTGACCCTGGCCCCCTGACATCAGTCCCAGACATCTCCCAGACTTGACCCTCCTAGATGCTGATGCCCCTCTTTGTTCTGGCATGGACCTGGTGGGGGAGGGCAAATTGAATTACTTCCTACCTCTGAAAGGATTAGGAAGGATGGGGATGAAGCAGGAAAGGGCTGGGCTGACTGTCCCCTATGCTCTTCACATGCTTCTGGATCAGGGACAGGTGAGTGGCGGGCCAAGTGCCCCATTTATTCTCCCTCACTTCCTTCCATCCCTTTTCACTCTGAAGACCTCTGTCCTCTTTTCCTAGCTATCCTCTCTTCTGTCTTTCCCCTCCTTTCAGTGTCTTTCCCTTTCACTCTCATCACTCAGCTTCCCAACCCCATCCCTACTCCCTCACAGGGACTTCGCCTTTGTGGCGGGTGACAAGGACACCTGCATGTTGAAATGCCACGTGTTTCGCTGTGATGTCCCAGCCAAGGCCATTGCCAGCGCCCTGCATGGGCTGTGTGCCCAGGTGAGGGGCCCTGAAGGGGATATGGTAGGAGGGGACTCCAGGGGAATGGGGACAACATGAGTCCTGAGAGTTCCCCTTGCCTGATCTCTCACCCCTGACCCCAGAGTGTTTATGTTGCAGATTCTGTCAGAGAGAGCAGGGGTGAGTGGTGACCCTCCTCAATGTTCCTTGGACCCCATCTCCCCTGAGGATCTACCCAGGCAAGGTATAGCTGGAGGATGGGATAAAGAGTGGGGACCACATTGTGAAAATAGTTTTAGTGGGGTTGGGTGGGTAGCTTGGGGAAAGGTTATAGGGGAAGGAAAAGTAGCCCCAGGAGTTTTGTCCCTACTTTGTGACCATCTTCTGCCCTTGTTTCACAATGTGGGCCCTAGAAGTGGCAGGCCCTACCTACCTGGGCCTAGACTTGAGAGTTGGGAGTAGGGAGGCCTTCCTCTCTGATGCTGCACCTGCACTGGATACTCTGGGGAGGAATGCTCACTTTGGGGGGGGCCACAGTGATTTTATCTACCCTTCAGTGGAGCTTCTTGATGCGGTGAGCCAGTCTGCCCAGCAGTATGAGGCTCTCTACGTTGGGACCCTTCCAGTTAGCAAGGCTATGGGTGAGGAACTGCTGGGGCCGGGGGAAAGTCTAAGGCATAGCTGGTTGGAGGAGAATGGAGTGGATATGGGACTAGAAATAAGATGTGAGATTCTGAAGTGTCTATTTCTTGAAGTGTTTATTGTCTCCATGTGAGGTCTAATCATATACAGCCTGAGGGCCTGACCCTCCCCAGCCCCACGATTTATATTTACTTGGTTACCCTACCCACTTTTTCTCTGGGCCCAAAGTGAGCCAGCAGGCCCACACTCATTTTGTCTTAAAAGTATCCCTGAGGTCCACCCCCTAGACTCCCATCCCTCTGGACCAGGATGGAAGCTGCAATGAATATGTTCCCCTCCCAGGGATGGATGTGCTGAATGAAGCCATTGGGGCCTTGACTTCCCAGGGGGACCATCATTCCTGGGCCCCAACCATCCTCAGCGTCTCTGACTCACTCATGACTGCATTGCCTGTCCAGGTAACAGGGATTGGCAACCATTAAGTGCTAGTGGAGGATGTCCCAGTTTCAGGAGGAAAGGGGAGGAAACCAAGATCTTACATTAATGCGTATGGAGTACTGAGGCAGGACCACTGAGGCAGGGATTGAGGTCAGGTCTCTGGGGTGAGGGGAGAGCATTTATGGGTGAGGGGAGAGCATTTATGGGAGGGGGAGGTCCTTAGTAAGGGGCCAGCCCCCATTGATGATTGCATATTGGGGGTGGGGGGAAAGGGACAGGCAGAGCTGGGTGCAGAAGAGCCACTGTGGCAATGTCCAGTACGACATGTGACCTTCATTGGTGTTGGCCATGATCCCCACACCTTTGGACTCATTGCTGACCTTGGTCACCAACGGTTCCAGTGTGCTGCCTTCTGGTGCCAGCCCCATGCTGGGGCACTATCTGAAGCTGTTCAGGCTGCATGCATGGTGAGCTTTGAGGTTGGGAAGGAGCTTGATCAGGGATGAGGGAGGGGCCCTGGGAAGGGAAGGATGGTATTTTCTGGAGTTCTAATTCATTCCTGAACTGTGGTACATAAAATTCTCTCTAGAGTTTCCTTAGCCTACATAGACTCCTTCCTCTTAGTTGGGAATGAGCCATACGCAACAAAAAGCCCAAAGAACCATTTGAGGCCTCCCTGTCTAGGCCTTATGCTTCAGGCAGCACAGATGGTGGTAGATGATCAGACAGACAAACATCAGCTGACAGTAGCCTTTGAACAGCTCCTTTTTCCAGAGTTAACTTCAAGGAGCTTGGTTGTAGTCAGATAGGATAAAGCTGCCCTTTCCACACCCCTGGCTATCTCCTGCAAATTTATTCTTCCTCAGATTCCTGTTCCCTTCCATTCTTTATACCTGGAGAATTCCCTGACTCCTCATTATGATCATCCCCACTCCCTCTGCCCTTTACTTTCAAAACCCTGGGGGATCTAACTCTTCTCTCTTCCTTACATCCCATCTAGTTAGTGACCAAGTCCTGTTAATGTTAATTCCACTTCCACAACACCCCTTAATCCATCTCCCTCTTCTCTATTATCATTGTAACCACACCAGGATAGGTCCTCAGTATCCTCTCCTTGAAGGTAGTAGCCTCCCTAGAGATTGTCCTGCCTCCATTTGGAGAAAGATGCCGTTTTTGGATGACTCTAGTCTGTCCTTCATATTCCTGCCAGAATAATCTTGTGTATAGACCTGATGGTGTCACCTGATCCCTCATAAAGCTTCAGTTGCACCCTCTTGCCCTCAGGTAGAATTGAGAAACTTCTGGCTGGCGTTCAAGGACCTTTACAATATAGACCACTCTATTCTTACAGCCTTTCCTTATGCCACTCTCCTTCATGCACTTTCTGGTCTGTTGTACTATCTGTACTATTCTCTATCCACCAATCACACAATGTGATTGATCTCCTGGCTCTTTTCTTTTGCTCACCTTATTCCCTGTTTCAAATGCCCTCATCCCTTTCTTCACATGTTGAAATCTTACCCAATTTTTAAAACCCACATTAAATGCCATATGGTCCAGGAATCCTTCTCTGTTGTTCTTGCTTTGTAACAACCTTCCTCCCAGACCTCACAGAATACTTTTGTTTTATAGTTCTCTAATATAGTTATGTAATATAATGCATTATAGCGATCTATGTTGATGTCTTATCCCCCAATTAGATTGTAAGCTCCTTAAGTATAGGTGTAGTATCTTTCCTTAATTTTGTATATCCCTCCTTAACTATCACAGGACTATATATAATAGGTGCTTAATAAATGTTTGTATTATGTCGTACTGTATTCTGTTGCATCCCTTTTCTTAGGTACAGTATCAGAAGTGTCTTGTGGCCTCTGCAGCCCGAGGGAAGGCCCGGGGTGCCCAAGCCCGGGCTCGACTTCGACTCAAGAGGACAAGCTCTGTGGACTCTGCAGGAGGACCCCTGCCTCTCCCACTCCCCCTGCTCAAGGGTGGAGTTGGAGGTGCGGGGGCTGCCCCCCGTAAAAGAGGTGTATTCTCCTTCTTTGATTCCTTCCGACTGAAACCCTCCTTACTGCATATGCCCTAGATCAAGGTGGGGAAGATTGGGAAAGGGAGGCTTTGGGGACCCCTCCAGCAATTTCACACCACTCTATTTCACACCACCATATTCTAGGGGTCCAACTAGCCACCCTACCACCTCCCTATTCTCATCTGCCCCCATGACCTGTGGAGTCTTCCTTACTTGCCTCTCGTCTTCCTGCCTGCCCCATCCCTATCTTCTCTATTAATATATTGATTTATATTGAATATCTATTAGTCTTCCCTGGGTTGACTACAACCTCTACCCCATCCCAGACCCATTTCTTCCCCTCCTTCCTGGTTCATATGATCCCCGCCCCTGTCCAGTCCTGGGCAGTTGGCTCTACCTCAGCAACACTTTTTAGCAAAATCAGTACAAATAAAATCTCAGAGTGGCCTCATTGGGTGTGACTGTGCTGCAAGGAGGAGGTCAGTGTCTGTGCTTGGTGCTAGTAAATATAGATGGTTCATTTGGAGAGGGGTAAATTTGGCTAGGTCTCTCTTCATGCAGAAGGGGTTGAGAGGTCCAGACAGCAGATAAATCTCTTGAGCACAACCACTGCCTGCCAATCCTAGGGACTGGACATTTAATTCCCAAGAGCAATCAACGAATATTAATTAAAAACCTACTAAATTCCAGACGCTGTTCTGGGTGCTGGTAATAAAGAGATGTGAAACAGTCTGTGCCCTCAGGGAGCTTATATTTCTCTGGAGGAGGCAATATTTACACATACAAGTAAGTACAAAAACATCATAAATATTATAGAAAAAATAAATATAAGGTGTTTTGGGGAGAGGATAGAAGCAATGGCAGCTGGGGGAGTCAAGAAAAGCATCATGTAGGAACAAGCATTGGAAATGAGCTTTGAAGGAAGCTAAAAATTATAAGAGGTAAAGAAAGTGCAATCCTGGCCTGGGGTACAGATATGAGAGAAGGGATGTCATATATAGGGATAGTAGGGGGATAGTAACTCCCATTTGGCTAGACAGAAGAGTGAAGGAGACTAGGGTGGAAAAGAAGGTTGAAGTTGGGTTCTGTTACATGTCAAAGGGAGAGTTTGCATTTGCTGTGGGCCACTAGATGAATAGAGTATAGGGCCTGGAGTCAGGAAGAAATTTGAATGCTGCAACGGACAATTACTGTATGACAAGTCACTTACAGTTTTGGCTTTTTTTTAAAAAATTTTATTTTTTATTACATTTTGAGTTCCAAGTTGGGCTCCCTCTTTCCCTCCCAAAACTGCATTAGGGAAGGCCAACATTTGATAAAGATATATATGTGGAACCATACAATATATATTTCCATGTATCAGTTCTTTCTCTGGAGGTGTATAGCATTTTCCTTCATAAGTACTCTGTAGTTGATTTGAATGTTCATATTACTCAGAATAATATAATAATTCACAGTTATTCTTTGAACAATATTATTTCTTCATATAATATTCTCTTGGTTCTTTTCATTTCACTGCAGTATTTAATGCAAGTCTTTCCATATTTTTCTAAAATCAACCTGCTCATCATTTCTTACAGCACAGCAGTATTTCATCACAATCACATACCACAACTTACTCAGCCATAACCCAATTGATTGGCATCCCTTCAATTTCCAGTTCTTTGCAACCACAAGTTGAGCTGGTATAAATTATTTTAGAGTATATAGGTTCTTTTTCTTTTTCCCTGATTACCTTTGCAAACAGACGTAATAGTGGTATTGCTGGGTCAAAGGGTATATACACAGTTTTATAACTTTTGGGGCATAATTCCAGATTGCTCTCCAAAATGGTTGGGTCCTTCACAATTCCACTAACAGCGTGTTAGTGTCCGAATTTTTCCACATCCCCTTCAACATGTGTCATTTTCCTCTTCTTTCATTTTAGCCAAACTGATAGGCGTGAGATAATACCTTAGCTGTTTTAATTTGCATTTCTCTAATCAATAATTTAGAGCATTTTTTTATATGACTATATAGCTTTGATTTCTTCTTCCAAAAGCTGTCTGTTCATATCCTTTGATTATTTATCAATTGGGGAATGACTCATATTCTTACAAATTTGACTCAGTTTTCTGTATATTTGAGATACAAGGCCTTTATCTAAGAAACTATGAAAGATTTTCCCCTAATTTTCTGCTTTCCTCCTAATCTTGACTTGGTTTTATTTGTACAAAACCTTTTTAATGTAATCAAAATTATCCATTTTACATCCCACGATGCTGTCTCTTGTTTATTATAAATAATTCTCCTGTCCATAAACCTGATAGATAATACATTACATGCTCTTCTAATTTACTTGATATCTCCCTTTATGTCTAGGTCATGTATCCATTTTGGCCATATCTTGGTAAATGGTATTGTTCTATATGTAGTTTCTACCAGACTGCTTTCCAGTTTTCCCAGCAATTTTTACCAGATAGTTCTTATCCCAAATGCTTAGGTCTTTACATTTATCAAACTCAAGGTTACTATAATCTTTTACTACTGTGTATTGTATATCTGTTCTATTCCACTGATCCACTATTCTGCTGCTTAGCCAGTACCAGATAGTTTGATAATTACTACCTTATAATAGAGTTTTAAGATCTGGTTTTGCTAAAACTCCTTCCTTTACATTTTTTCATCAGTTCCTTTGATATTCTTGACTTTTTGTTTTCCCAAATGACTTTTGTTTCTGTTTTTTCTAGCTCAATAAAACAATTTTTTGGTAATTTAATTGGGTTCGCATTGAATAAGTAGGTTAAGTAGAAGCAACCTCAGTTCCTTCATCTGCAAAACAGTGCTACTGATGGTACCTATCTTACAGGGTTATATAAAATGCTTAGTAAACCTTAAAGTGCTATCTGTATAAATACTAACCATTACTGTTATCTTGAGAGCCACTGGAGTTTATTGAGCAGGGGAATGGCAATGGGAATGTCACTCTGGCATTACTGGCACTTGCATAGGAATAGGAATGGCACCTGCCATTACTGGCCTGAATTTGATGCTTGGACCAGAAGCTAGCATGGTGTAGTGGTCCTTGTCATGTGATCTAAGGCACTTGTCCTCTCTTGGTCTCAGTTTCCTCATTTGTAAAAAGGTGTGTTGGACTAGACCAGGGATTATTGACATTTTTTTTGTGTGTGTGTGTCATGGACCCATTTGGCAATCTGGTGAAGCCTATGGACTCCTTGGGATAATATTTGTTATGTATGTTCATCATTGAAGGAAATCCTTAAGTTCAGTTAGTGAAAATAAAGATACAATTTTCCCCCCATTCAAGATAATGCCCCTAAAGTTATTAACCCTGGACTTGCTAATTTTAAAAGTTCCCTTCAAGCTCTAAGGATACTCTGCCCCAAACTGGAAAGCTGGTCCAGGGTGATTGGAGATGAGAGGCAGCAGCACAGAAAAGTTGAGAGCTCTCCTAACTTGGGAGTTGGGAAATCTAGTTTCAGGGGTGTGCTGGTGAATGTTTTACAATTAGTCTCTGGGGGAGAAATGTAAACAGGACACAAATTTAAGTTTAATCAGGATTATTAGCATTTATTTAAATCTAGACAACCAAAAAAATAAATCAAGTCCTGATTTATAGCCATTGCCAATTTCTGAGTTGTAAATGTTCATACTGAAAATTTAACATTTGACTCTTGCAGGCTGGAGCTGGCTACAGTATATGCTGCACCTGCCTTCTAGTCCTAACTCTTCAACTTTGGGAAAGTAATGTCATCTCTTTTACCTCCCTCAACTATAAAATGGGAATAATGGTTCTTGTACTACCATTCTGGTAGGGTTGTTGTGAGGAAAGTGCTTTATAAACCTTAAAGTACTACAGAAATGTGAGTTACTCCTTTGAGTTTTCTCTTGTGGTTGCATTAGGGCAGAAGGCAATGGGCTCACATAGGGCTATGCACTGGCTGTCTTCTATTCTCCCTTTATACTATTTCATTTAGTGATCTCATCAATGCCCATGGATTTAAATATCATCTATCTGTTAATGGTTCTCAAACCTACTTATTCTGCCCTAACCTTTGCTGACTTCTAGGGCCACATCTTTAACTGCCTTTCAGACTTCTCAGACTGGATGTTCAGTAGACATTTTAAACTCATCATGTCTAAAACTGAATTTATTTTCCTCCCAAATCCCATTCCTTCCAGACTAGCCTATTACTGTCCAGGGCACCACCACCCTCCCTCTCCACTGGCTGGCAGTGTCCTGTCTGACTCCCATGTCCAATCACTTGCCAAGGCCTGTCAGTTTTCACCTTTGCAACATCTCTGGAACACAACTCTTTCTTTCCTTTGATACTGCCACCGGCGTGGTGGCAGGCCAACATTTATTAAGTGCCTAATATGTGTCAGGCACAGTGATAAACACCAAGGATACAAAAAGAGGCAATCCCTGCCTTCAAGGAGCTCACAATTGGGTGGCCTGCTGGTGGCCTCCCAGTTGAAAGCCTTCCCACTACAATTCATCCTCCCCTCAGCTGCCAAAGTGATTTTCCTAAAGTGCAGGTTGGATCATGTCATTTCACTTACTCCATAAACTCCAGTGGCTCCCAATCACTTTCAGGATCAAATACAAAATTGTGTTCAAAATCCTTCATAACTTATTCTCTTCCTACCTTTGCCAGTCTTCACACCTTACACCTCCCCCAATATTGTTGGATCCAGTGACCCTGCTGGCTGTTACTTGAATAAGACACTTGGCTGGGGGTGGGGGTGGGGGTGGGGGGCATTTTTTCTGGCTGACCCTTATGCTGGGAACCCTCTCCCTCTTCTCATCCTGCCTTCCCTGGCTTCAAGTCCCAGCTAATATCCCATCTTCTACAGGAAGCCTTTCCCAACCCCTAATTCTAGTGCCTTCTACATTGGTTATTTCCAATGTATTCTCTATATAGCTTGAATGTATGTATTTGCTTGTTCTTTACCCCACTAGATTGTGAGCTCCTCGAGGTCAGGGACGGTTCTATCTCTTTAATGTAAACCCCCAGCGCTTAGCACAGTGCCTGGCACACAGTAGGTGTTTGATAAATGCTTACTGACTTTGGACTAACTGGCTTCAAAAGGAAGTAGCTGAACAGGCCAGATGACCCTCCCTTGACCTCTCTAACACTCCCGCGCCCCCATCTTCTCATTTTTTAATCCAAATCTTGAAGGGGAAGAAACATAAGGAGTAGGTGGGTGGAGCGCAAGCCCCGGGGCAGCCCAATGAGAAGCGGACTAGCAAGGCGTGGCCCGCCTCCGGAAGTGACGCGCAACTGCTCCGCTGGCCATGCGGAAGTGAGGCGATGGCGGAGCTGTACGTGAAGCCGGGTAAGTTGGACTCGGCGCCTCTAGAGCCCCGTCTTAGCCCCGGGGCCGTTCCGGGGTGAGGTATGGGGTCTACGAGGCGTGGGGGCGGGGTGGTCATGTGGTATTGGGGGAGGTGTGGGGCACGGTGTGACAGCTCTTGGTCCCATCCTTCCCCTTCCACCTTTCTCCACCTTCGCCCTCCAATTCCTTTCTCTCCCTCATCCATCCTCTTTCCTCTTCTCCACGCCTCCCCCCTCATTTTCTCCTTTCTCTCCCTCTGTCCTCACCTCCCCCTCCCCTTCCCCTCCTCTCTTTCTCTTTCTCCAATCTGTACCTCATCTTTCTCTTTGTCTTCTTCCCATTTCCCTCCTTCCCCACCCTCTTTCCCTCCTCGTCCCCTCCTGGCCTCCCTCCCCTCCCCTCTCTCCATCCCTTCCTTCTCTCCTTGCCTTCATCCCTGCTTTCTCCCCACCTTACCCCGCCTCCCTTTTTTCTCTTGTTCCTTTCTTCTTTAAATTTTCCTCCCTCTTTTTTATTCCTTTCTTCTCTTGACCTCATTTTCTATCACCCCTTCCCTTTTTCTATCTTTTTTCCCATCATCTTTTTCTCTTTTGTTTTTGTCTTCTCCAGTACCTTCACATTCCTTTCTTTTTCCTGATTCCTTCTTCCCCCTTCTCCCTCCACACTTTAATTCTTTATTTTTATCTATCTTTTCTCTTTTCCCCTTTTGTCTTCAATTTCAGGGAACAAAGATAGAGGCTGGAATGACCCTCCACAGTTCTCTTATGGGTTGCAGACCCAGGCTAGCAGTCATAAAAAGACACCACTCACTAAGCGGGTTGCAGCTCCCCAGGATGGTGCTCCAAAAGGTGAGTGCTTGTGAGCCCAGTTCAAATTGCCATTGTGATTAGGGGAGAGTTGCCAGTATTTCCTTTATGCAGGAGGCTTTGGCCTCTTTCATCTTTTTTTTTTTGTTTTCCCAGAGACATATCTGCCCTTTGGGGCAGTTCTTGCCAAAAGGTGATAGTGATATAGATTCAGGCTTGTTCTCCTTGAATGGTGACACAGATTTCCTAAGCCCAGAATAGTTTCTCATTTAATGAGTATTCCTTGCTCTTACAGGGGTTTAAACAGTGAGACATATATAGGGTCCCAGCTTAGCTTCTTAATGAAAAATTTCCCATTTCCTTCCTTTTCTACTCTTCCCCTAGTCTAGTCTAGTCCTGAGGCCATTGGACCAGTAAAGTCTGAGGGACATTCATTGGTTTCTAAAGTCTCAGGAAGGGGTCTTGGTGGGGGTGCAGTGGGAGAGGATGAAACTGGGGGCAGGGCTGTTTATCGGTTGGGCTATGATGTTCAGTGCTGTTCTCAGCACATTGATTTACCTTCTCAGTGCCTGCCTCAGAGCCTTTTGCTGGGGCTCCTCCAGTGGGACCACCACCTCTCCTGACAAAGGCTCCCGGGCCCCCTCTTTGGGGAAACTCTTCTCCTTTGAGGTTGGAACCTACCAGCTCCCCAGTCATTTGTGAAACAATGTTGGAAGATGTGCTGGGACCCTTGGAACAGGCGTTGGAGGATTGTCGGGCTCATGCACAGGTGAGGCTCAGGGGAACCCAGTTTCATGATGGAAGCGGAGCTAGGGTAATTAGCTAGATTGTAAGCCCTTCACTTGAGAACAGGGTCTGTGTCATCCATCTTTGTATCCCTAGTGCCTTCTACTTAAATTCAGTCTCCCTCTCCTCACCCCAAAGGTACAGTGAAATTCTCTCGACTTTTTATAAAGAAGGGACCAGATTGGGCAGGTACTGAGTTAAACCCAGGCAGCATAGTGTAGATGAGGCAAGAATTCTTTTGTGGAAAGGACACTGGCTTTGGAATTGTAGGTACTTGAGTTCAAATTCTATCTCAGTGGAATTCTTTAAACGTTGGATTAATCATATCATCTCTCTGTAAGCCTGTGTTCTCATCTACAAGATGAGCAGGTTGTACTTGATGACCACTAAGGTCCTTTTCAATCCTAAAATCCATTATTCTCTTGTTCCTTCTATCCCCATTCATCTATTAGAATTATACTTGATTATGTGCCCATTAAGGTGGAACAAAAGCAGACCCTGGGATTGTGTCCCAGACATTACATTACCTTGGCTTTGTCTTCGAGAGAGGTAAACACTTTTCTGCTATTATCCAAGATGCCTCACAATCATTCTCAAGAGGAATAGAGCCTAGAGGGAAGGAAGGGGTTTGTTGGATGGTAAAGAGTGGGAGGAATAGAAGAGAAGACCAGAATGGGACAGGAATATTGTGGAGGGAAGATGAAAAGGCAGATTAGAGCTCTGACTTGGGAAGAGTTTCTGTGTACTCAGAAACAGGTCTTTGATGATATCAGCCGGCGACTAGCCTTGCTTCAGGGACAGTGGAAGAGTGAAAAGCTGTCAGTTCCTGTGAGGAAGAGGATGACACTGCTGGTGCACGGTGAGTGATGTTGAGGGACCCCGGGATGCCCTTGAATTCTGCCACTTGGCTTCTTGTGTGGCCCTCACACAGGGGCTGGAATAGTTCACTAGAGGGGCAGCAGGATATAGTGGAAATAAGTTGAATAAGCAGTGCACTTGTAATCAAGACACTTGCCAGCTCAGACCCTGGCTATGGGCAGTCCTATTACCTCTCTAAATCTATTTTCTCATCTGCAAAATAATACTTCTATTTCATAGGGTTGTGGTAAAGAAAACACTTAAACCTTAAAGCTCTATAGAAATGTGACCTTTAATTAAATGTTCAGAGGGGCAGTCCTTGTGTACGGGGGAGGAAGGAGCACTGTATTATGCTCAGGGCCTCTCTCCTTTTAGAGCTCAGGAACCACAACTGGGATGGAGCTGATGACATACACCGATCACTGATGGTGGATCATGTGACTGAGGTCAGTCAGTGGATGGTGGGAGTGAAAAGGTTAATTGCAGAAAGGAGGAGCCTGCCTTCAGGGGAAGCTGCTAAGGAGAAGCCTACTACTACAGAGGAGAATGAGGAGGTCTCAGGCCTCTCTGCAACTCTGTGACCCCCTATTTTCTTCCTCCTCCATCAGTCCCTATCTCCCCCACTGTCCTAGACCTTGAACTATCTCTGAATGGGACCTGGTGAGGTTTGGGGTCCAGGGACTTACGTTTGCTGGCTTCCTTGACACCAGCAGGAGGTAGGGAGTTGGAAGAAGGGAAGGGAGGTTCTCTTTTAGCAGAGAAGCTGCTCCAACTCTAACTGGGACTTTGGCCTGACTCTGGGGAGGGAAGACTGTGTAGGCAGTTCATTGGTTGCTTCTGACATATGCAATTAAATAAAAACATCTTGTCCAGTGGTATGTCTTGGTGGGGCAGTGGGGACTTTTTTATTCTCCAAACCACTTGCCATTGGGCCATCTAGGAGTATAGGTCTTACCCATAAAGGTTTTCAGTTTCTTTGAAATCTTAACTCTAGTCCTTTTCTCTCTTACAGATAATAGTTTAACATTAACTTGTGCTGGGCTGGATATGACAAAGTCCCTGCCCTGTAGGAATTTTCAAATGACAGGATCAAAAGGACCTAAACTTGCATAGCTGAGCCTAGCAGCCAGAAAAAACAGAAGCTTGAAAATAAGTGATCAGCTTGTCCCTTTTCTAGGACTGGGCATGGAAAGAATGAAGATGGTTGGAAGAGGAGGAATGTGGGTAGTAGGGCTTGGACGCTTACCCCCAGGAAAGGCAGTAGAGCTGAACCTATCTAAAATGAGCAGCTCATAGCTAGGGCTGCTCCAGGGGCCAGGAGAGGAAGGAAGTCAGGAAGCTTATCACCACAGGATTTCCCTAGGTTGTAGCATGGGACATAGCTGGTACCCAGCATTCCTGGGCACTGACTCCAGGCCTCACTGCCACCTTTGCTCCAGTTGACCAAAAGTAGAAATGTAAAATAAAGACCTAAAGGGGTTCTGCCTTGGCTAAGCAGCTGAAGTCCTGCTGGACCAGGTGTTAAGAGAAATCAGGGTACTGGGGAACACTGGGTAATCAGAGTACAAAAGTTTACTGAATCTTGGTATTAAATGGCAGGTGGTGGGAAGGAATCCAGAAAGATGCCTTCCTAGTTGCTGAAGAAAGGAAAAATACTTCCTCTGTTTTCAGATAATCTCAAATTTGACTGCTATTTACTACGTATGTGACCTTGGGTAAATAATTTCCTCTAAATACATCTCACTTCCTTCATTTTCAGAATAAGAGGTTGACAGATGATCCTTGTAAGGTCCCTTCTGTTACTAACATTCTGTGATAACGATACCAAAGTGAGAAGGGGAGCCTCAAATGACCTCTTCTTGAGGAATGATGTCCCATATTAAAATAGCAGGTAGGGACTGGAACAGAGTTACAGTGGAGGCTCAGATCCTGGAAGGCTGTTTCCTGGAACAGGGAACAACCCTTGGCAGGTGCCAGGCTGTTGCTGTTTAAAGTACAGTTCCTGCTGGCCCTTGCTCGCCACCCTAGGCTGGATCTGACTGCAGCTGGAACAGGGCCCAATCTTAGAAGCAGAGTTCTATGGGACAGGAATTCCTCATTCTAGCTTCAGGATGACCAGGGGTGGTACAGCAGTGCCTTTTTCTCAATCAGAAGGGAGGAATGTGGATGAGGTAGAGAAAATAGAAATGTGACCCAGGGGAAGTCTTTCATTGTGTTTATTAAGCATTGACAGGATGCAGCATCCAATCCCACAACCCAGTAGAAAAATGGGTATTTAAGGGCTCAGCAAGTAACTTCCAAATCCACATGGCCTCCATTCACAGAATAGCACCTTCTCCTACCCATACCCCAAATCCGAACCTTCCCTCCCCTATCACCTTGGGCTCAGTCACTTCTGAGAACTGAAGGAGCTACTAGAAATAAAAAGCCTTTCTCATGCCTGGGGAAGTTGAGGCCCTGGTGGTTGCAGTAAGAAGAGCCACCTGGCAGTAGCACAGAGGGGCTGGGGCAGAATTCTTGTGTTAACAGGGTCAAATACTCCCAAGTCAGATGTCCATTTCAAACTGTGCCTCATCTGGAGGGAAAGAGGAGCCTTAGGGTTAGATTGCTCTAATTCCCTACCATGCAGTTAGGCCTTCTTGCCCCTGGCTCCCTGCCTTACACCCTTTTCAGCTAGAAGCTGCTCTATAGTTAAGGGACCAGCCCTGAAATACCAAAACTCCCTTAGAATTGGCCTGGCTACTCCCAGAGTTCTTGGAGAGGGGGCAGTTTTCCCCACTCCCCCTTACTGTAGGTTGAGCAACTTTTACTATTACGATTCCTCCTTTTTTTTTTTTTTTAAGTGAGGCAATCGGGGTTAAGTGACTTGCCCAAGGTCACACAGCTAGTACGTGTCAAGTGTTTGGTCTGAGGTCACATTTGAACTCGGGTCCTCCTGACTTCAGGGCCGGTGTTCTATCTACTGCGCCACCTAGCTGCCCCTAAGGTTCCTTCTTAATACCGTATAAACAGTTTTTCTATTTCCTCCTGAACCCTACCATTTAAGCCAGAAAGCCAAGGCAAGAGTGTAGTCCAGGGTGAACACAAAGGGATCTTTTAATAAAAGCTTAATTCTTTCCATCTGCAACTGTAACTTGCCAGTGGATGAGACTTTTAACATTCCTTGTCAAGCCTCCTTACCTGGGATCTCTTCAGTTTCTTTTTGCTCCTTTAATTCCTTTATTTTGGCCAGTGGGGCCTGTGGTGAGACAGTGACCCCAGGGATCTGGGGGAAGTAGCAAGGTGGTGTCAGGGCAATGGGCGAGTTCTTACATTCCAGCAGGAATTTTCGATCGTAGATGATTCTAGTTCCTGTAGGGATTGGATCATGGAAATTGGGAGAAGGATTCTGTGGTACAGAACTTAAGTGCCTTGCCTAGAGCCCATCCCTTCCTAAACTAACTGACTTGCCTGTGGGAATAACTGAGCAAATATGACAATTTCTTTGGACCTCAATTTCCTTACCTGAAAGAAAGAGGTTGGGCTCTGATGCCTTCCGTCTCTAGTTCTGAGAGAATAACCAAAGGACAGAAGGGCATGACAGCCTTTCCTTTCCAGAATGGTGCCCAGCTTCAGATTGTTTCCTAAAGGAGCATGTGCCTGTGCTGGGAAGATGAGGAGGGTTTGTTTAGGTTTTTGGACTGGAAAAGTATGTATGTGCACACCAACTCTCCCCTCCCTACCTAGCACCTGTGTCTTACTGTCCACTAGTGGTTTTTGATCTAATACTACTTCACAAAAACAATACCTTTGTATCATGGAAAATAGAATTTTCTGGTATTAAATATGAAGTCACACAACTCTCTCATTGGATAACTCCCTTTTCCGGGGGTGGGGAGGCTGCCAGTTTTTCCTACCCTAGTACTGTGTGTGTGGTGGAGGAGTTTGAGAGTATGAGAATGAGATCCTAGAGTCTGCTAGTAAGCAGTCGGGAGCCCACCCCAAGAGGAACCTAAACCTCGGTCCCGAGAGCATTCATCTTGGACCTTTCTCAATCCCTAAAAAGGCTCAGACCGAGGCCTTGGCTGGACTAGTAGTAGATATGTAGAGTGCTCTGTGCATCGCCGTTCTTTTCCTTACCCTCCCCCTCCTTCAGTTTCCCCCGGGAGGAACCAGGCAGGAGCCCAACCTGTAAACTTGGTTTCACTGACCAGCCCTGGCAGCTGTTAGCATACGTCTTTGCCCTGGTTGCCCCACCTTAGTGTCTGCTTCCCTGGACATCTAATTAACTTTGGGACCCTCAGAGCACCTCTGGAAGCTAGTGAAGACTGTGAGTCTTCGTGCTTCGGGACGACAATGGCCCTGGCAAGGAGGAGTCTGGGGGGCAGAAGTGGGTGACGAGGTGAGATTTTCTGGCACCAGCAAGCCCACGTTAGTTTGAGGGGCCTCAAGTTAGGGCCTCGGTTACCTCCGAAGCCCTAAGGCCAAACTCACTGCCTCCCTCCTGTAGCCGAGATATCAAGCTCAGGCTTGTTAACCTAGTTGCAGTACTCGACACTGTTGCATCATCTGTTGGTGGGAGGCTGTGGGAAACGGGCTGGGGCAAAAACACATGCCAACCGTTTGGGGTCCTCGTGCAGCCTGGGCGGTACCGTGAACTCCGGCTTCAGAAAGAGCCAGCAAAGTGCTGAGCCCTTCTATATGCTTGTCCAGAGCAAGGGCAGGTCACTGGGCTCTGAAGCCTGTGCAGTACGCCTCACGAAGCAGATCAAAAGGAGAACGGATGGCATGTGTTCACCAGCCCCAAGGCCCACCTTTACTACCTACAACTCTAGCCCCTGCACAGCCCCCCCCCCCCAGCTGGACTCCTCCCCAAACTATAGACAGACTCCCAAGCTCCTGGGATAGGGGCAGCTTCCTCCTGCTTAGCCCCAATCCCAGCGGCCGACCTCCTGAGGTAGTGGCGTACAGCGTGCCCCCGGGCGTGGTGCTGTAGCAGTCGGGCAGCCGGTCCCGTCCCCCGGGAATGGGGCAGCTAGTGGAGGTGGACAGGGCGAGCTGGTGGCGGGAAGGACATTGAGTCCGGATACCAGCGTGGGTTGGGTCCCAACCACGTGCTGCCCCGGGGCAACAACAGTAAGGCCGGACCAACTCGGGGCGGAGCCAGCAAGTTACTCATTGCAGGGTAGGGCCCCAGGCAGGGCGTGACGCTTAACTCCCTATTCTTACTGTTCTTATTTTACACTTAGAAATTTACTTTATCTCAATGAAACGCAGTTTCTTCCCAATGTTAAAGGCATAATAAATATCTGATGTTATGTCTTGTATGTAAGGATGAAGGGTAGATTAAAAATGAAAAAGGTTTTAAGAATATCAATTATCTCATCAACTCAACGATATGGAGGGGAACAGATAACCTAATCCAAGAGGAAAATAATCTAATTGTGGATAAACAAACAGCAAACCTATATGCCTTGGTAGGTGATTGTACACAAGAAAGGCATTAGTGAGGCATGGGATAATTTGGAAATTGATCCATTCCATCCATGAAAATTGGGCCAGTTATAGAATATCTAAATACTCCCAATGATGTATGACTGAAAGGCAATCGCTCTCATTCCCTCACTTCAAGGCTTCATAGGGAAAAAGCCCAACCTAAATTGCCACCATACACAAGAGTACAGAGGCTTCTCCTTTGAAGACGGTGGAGGTGAAATGTACACTTTCTTGATATCTCTTAAAGCACTTTGATTTTCCTGATAAGTCTTTATTTTAAAGTCCCAAAGACAGAAAGGATTTTGACAAGGTTACAACTGCCCCAAATGACCTCAGCCCTCATCATTTGTCCAATCCTTCTTCTGTAGCTGTGAAGGAAAGAGATTATAATGCAATAGTAGCCTCAGTTCCAGATCAGTTTCTTGAACAAGTTATCCACCCTCGCCCCCTCAAAATTTATTATCTAAAGTTTTTGATGCCTTTTTTTTTTTTACACTTTGATCATTTTCCAATATAATCCACTTCCTTTCTCCCCAACTCCCACCAGGATAATAAAACCAGTTGGGTGTAGGTCAGAGAAAAAGTGCTTCCTCCCTCTGTAGCAAAACAGTAAATTTTTTTAAGAAATATTGATGGAAATAAAAGCTCTGTGGATATGCAACATCATTTAGTGAAAAATCCCTTTTCATCACAAAAGAGGAATGATTTTGAAGTGTTTTGCTTCCAAACTCTATTCCTCTTCTCTCCCACTCCCCATAGGGGAAACATTTAATTTTCACATAATCAAAGAAGTTGTTAGATAAATTTTCCTTGGGCCCTCACTTAAAGTCATCTTCTCTGGACCAAATCCCCAAGGGCTCATCTCCCTTAGAAGTGATTAAGGGAAGAAAATTGGTAGTGACCATCTCTTTGGGCAGGTGACAAGTAGTTAGATGACTAGAAGCAATAGCAGTAACTTAATCTCAGACTGTCTATTGTGGAACCATGTCATAGCTGTATTTTTTCATGATGGAAGAGGCCCGAGACGAGTTTAAGAACCAGGCAATCAAGTGTTTTGCTGCCTTATCAAAACATAGTCCAAAGGTCTTAACAGTGAAGTTAAGGTCACAATCACTAAGCACACCCACTTATTCTGTTTGGATGGGAACTACAGAATGACTGGCCCTTCCCTTTTCCAAGCTGGCCCTGACTGGGAATAGTCCCCGGCATGCAGCACTTCTGAAAAGTGTCTCATTGATGTACCCAGTAAGGAGTGGTAGTGGTGGTAGGAGGTGACTTGCTTTAACAGGGACCTTGGCTTTTAGGTGAGTGAACAGATGGACAAACAAAACAAGAGCTGCTCTGGGTTGTGAAATTTCTTAACCTTTAGTTTGTAGCACCTCCCCATTACCTTTCCTTCTCCCATTTGCTTAGCAGAGTGGTGGTGCCCCTTTTGTACTTGTACCAGTACTAAAAGAAATACTGCTTTACAAAAAAACAATCAATGCACAATAGATGGTAGATATTAAAAGTGTCTTGCTACAAAAACTCTCAATTCTTTTGTGATAGAATTTTGTTGTTTTGTTTTAAATAAATGGGCTTGAAAATCTTTAATATAAAATGCCTTCTTTGTGATGAATTTTTATTGTAATGGAATAGATTTTTTAAATTGCCTAAAGTATCTCCAGTAAGCACCACAGGCATATGTTTTCATCCAAATCTCCATCTCACTCCCTGCTCCACAATAACCCTTTCCTTTTCTTTCAAGTCATAACTAAAAGGAAATACTAATTATCAAAATATTTCACTGCATAATCCCTGAGGATTTCCATTAATTCTATAACCATATATATTCATCCCAGATGTGCTATCAAGAAGGAACAAAAAACAATAGTGTATTTGCATATCAAGAAAAAAAGATCAGTTTATTTTTATATAAAGTTAGTAAAAAGAGAATAGGAGAGGCAGGCTGACAGTAGTAGGGGCATGTATGTGGGGGGAAACTGGTGACTAGATTCAATAGAAAAACAGGTAGTCTTGATAAAATAAATTGAACACTTTTAGTTTTAAAGATCCTTTCTCTCAAAACTTTCCCATAATTACAACCTAAGAGGCAGTTAAGTATGTCAGCTGGTCTACCAAGTAGCTTCTTGTACTATTATTAATGATAGATCACCTTTATTACTAGCATATGTAATTAACTCGTGTTACTCTTCTCACTAGTTTTCTCATCTGAAGCCGCATAACTTTCTCCATTAATTCTAGTGAAATGCTTTTTTAAAGTGGGAAGTGGGAGCAAGGTTTATAGGTAATAGGTATTACCACATTACTGTAACCAAAAAATTACTGAAGAGGCAATTATATCTCTTGCCAAACTGAAAAAATAATAACTTTTTTTTTAAGTCCAGTAAAAAGTTCTGCCTGATGGCTGGAATATCATAGTGTTCCAGTACACAAAAGGAAGAGGCATGTTTGACATTAAACATATGCTTTTAATTTTGTATGGTATAAAGTATGACTGTGTCTTCAAACTCGAAGCATTTTAGAGCTAGGGCAGAGGAAAAACTACATAGATAACCAAATTTTGGTCTCCAAGTTTCAGGATTCACAGGGCACAAGAGAATCTTTTAAAGGATCATCATCTTTTGAAATAGAATTTCCTCCAGCCCTATCTCATTTTCTGCTGTTCCTTTCCCCCTCCTTCCCCTCCAGTTGTGTTGATATAAGTGTGACTTCTCTCTAAGTTCCAAATTATTTTCTAGTACTCTATTTTTAGAAACTCTATAGGAGCAGCAAATTCACTTATATCTAAACATGAGTATACACTTGTATTATTTAGTACTTTATTGTTTTCCCATACTGTTGCATCACATTCTTGGCATTACCTCTTGCTATGCTAGTTATAAACAACAATTTTCACTCGAGGATAGGGGTACTAATATGTCCATAGTTCAACCCACTAAATACTTGCACTTTAGAGTGCCATCCAAAATTTATATGAGCTTTTCCCAGTCCTGTGTCCTGCCTCACATGTCAAAAACAAAAAACAATCTAAATAAATATTCTAATTCTAATCTAGCCTGAAACTGGTCAACATTATCTGATTGAAAATCCTGCTCTTTTCCTGGACACATATACCAAATGGTGACCGTACCAATGCCTGATAAAGCTCCATTGCCAGGGTTTGTGCTCAATGAAAAGGCCATGATATTTATGGCTCACAAACACTGATTAGGTTTACCGAGTAGAGTGAACAGGCTGAAAAACTGGTTAACAAAGACTTCTTCCTTTTCAGATTCCAAGGTACAGCTGTTGAGTGATCTTTAGGGGATTTCCCAACTAGTCCCAAGTGACAGTGAAGTCACTCAGGCAGCAGTGATATGCAATATGCAAACAATGAAAGGATCACAACCAACTTCCAAATATTGTTCATCTTTTTATTGAATATTCAGGTAAATATTTCACATTAATACAGGCTACATAAAGTAGAGCCACTATACGACATGAAATTTACTCAACTTTTTTTCCTTTTAAGTATGTAAACAATTATACATGTATTTACCACCCTAAAAGGTTGAAATCATGTAATCATCTAGTTCTCTTCTGCAGACAAGTAGCATTCAGTACTGTTTAGCCAAAAGCACTAGGTTCATCTGATTTTAAGTTCAAAATGGCTAAACTAACTGGAGAACAGAATCAGTTGGATAGGAAAATCAATTTGTTCTTACACAATGGGCAATCAAGTTTCCATTGTTAAAGCCCACACAGAAAATTGCTTAGTTAGGCACATAAAAAAAATTCCCCAGGGTTCTTCCAAGGTCATAGGTTTCCCAAACAAGGCTAAAGAGAAAAGACCTTCTAATTTAGTTGACATATTTGAGATGCATGTTTCCAATATGAGGCGCCCATGTGCCAGGCCAAATCTGAAAAGGGGGAAAAAAATCATAACTTCCAATTAGGAATGTTATACATTAATAAAACAAAATACAAATTTTATGGCAATTATTTCCACCAAGGGGGGAAAACCTTATAATATTAAACATAGTAACAATAGATTGATACTAAAATAGTGAGATGATAGAAATTATTTTTGGTGCTGAGGATTTGTATTTACAGAAATAATTATTACATTATTGTATTTATTATTATTTATTATTAAATTATTGTATTTATTGTAAATTATTGTATTTACAGAAAAAAATCTGAAAGGTAAGAGAAAGTTAAATGTCTTTTACCTGCTGAGCATCAGTACATTCTGTTGAGTTTTGGACAACTTTTATCATAGGGTTCCAAGCAGGATCTGGGTTATGAAGTCCATTAAACAAAGGTCCACCTGGACCATCAGCAAGCTGAGGATGTGAGGGTATTAGGGTACCTCCATACATGGAAATTGGCAGACCCTACACAGCAGAAAGCAAATATTTGTAATCATGAAGTAATTACAAAGGATCAGATTACACCCCTGAAATCCTTTTCAAACAAAGAATAAAATAATCCAAAGACTGTATATGTGGTAGAAACATCTGCCATCTGCACCAAATAACAGGTATAAATAGTACTCTGGGAAACAGAAGAGAAAAAAA